TTTCTTTAGTACAAAGCCGAGGATTGCTCGGCTCTGATACCAAATGTCAGAGTAGGCCCTTTTTGAGTAATTAAATAGTGAGGGTTCACCGGAAAAAATGGCAAGCACCGGTGACCAGAATCAGAGTTCAGAGGGAGTAAGGGAACAAGGGGAAGTAGTTTAGAAGGAAGATCTAGAAGATGAAGAAGAATCTGGAAATCAAGGAGGATTGTATTCCATTTCTTTTCTTACCCTTATTACACAATCATTTGGGTATTTATTATGCCCAAATCTTCTGTAAAAAGACATACAACCGAAAACTGGAAAATGAAACTATTAACTGCTAATGATTGACCATAACGTCAGCCGTCAACGTAAATTGCCAAATCACCCTCATATTTTTTAGAATTTGCAAACAGACCCCTATCATGACAATTTTGAATGCACAAAAGGGAATTAGTTTTTTTTTTGCAAAGATGGACTTGAATGTGGGCTAATTTATGCCACGAAAAAAAAACAAAAGAAGCCCAAGATCTCCTTTTATTTGCCCGAAAGTTGCTGTTGCCGAAGGAAAAAATCTGAAGAAGCAAGCAGCAGCGGCGGTGCAGCGAATGAGCTTGGATTTCAGCCGAAGTTTTCTCCCGAATTAATTTTGGAACAAGTTGACTTAGCCCTCAAGAAATAGAGCTAAAAAGGACTATATAAAGAGAGGCTAGGGTTCTTATTTTTGGGGAATGGAACCTTCACCGAACTCACCGAAAGATCGCCAAAAACCCACGTCCGCTGCACCTTGCTGCCGCACACACCACCTTGAGTTTCTCTTCTTCTTCACCGTAGCAGTCCACCTGGGAGTCCTCTCCTCCTCTCACGCAGACACCATCAGACCACCCAGCCGTCACCATTCCTTGAAGCCACGCAACAAACCATCACCCGAAGCATCTCCTTCAACACTAGCAACTTTGCGCACCATCTCCTCCCTTCCAACGCATCAAACCAACAGTCGTCCGTGAAGGAGCAAGCAAGCTGCAGCCTTGAAATAAATTGATTTTAAACTTTTGGTTTCGACGGATTGTCCGGGTTTCTTCGTTTTTGTTTAATTTTATTATTGGATTTTTAGTTCAATGAGCATTATTAATTTCATATTGTTTTTAATAATATTTAGTGGTTAAGTATTTTTAACCTAGGTCTTGGGTGTAGCCACCGGATTATTTGGTTTATTTTGGTTCATTATATTTTGATTTTTTTTCGTTGATCAATATTTAATATTCGTGATTTAATTCGTGTAAGTAGTTGGTCATTATTTGCATGTTAACATGTATTTAACTGAAGCAACAACAGTTGAAGGTTAACACTAGTCCATATGAATATTCAACTTAGGGAGTGAGCTACGATAGTAGGAGCATTGCCTGTGCAACTAATAACTTAAAATTTTAATGTGCTTTAGTTATATCCTATAGTCACGACAGTAGTCATAGGATTAATTAGAGTAAGAGAATTATATCACGATGGTGAGTAGTTCTTAAGTAGGTGAATTGTTGTGAGATTAATTAAAATCCAAAGCCAAATATTTATGAATTAAAATTGAGCCAAGTATTCGGTAGATGAACCCAATGTCCTAGATTTCCTTTGTCTGATTATCTAAGTTAATATTACTTGCTTTTATTCTTCTTTTGATTATTTTAGTTTTAAAGTTTACAAATTTGAGATCATTGTTCGTCTACATAATAATGAGTAGTTTATAACGGTATTTAGTTTTCCTTGTCTGTGGGATGACCCTGCTTGCTACTTTGCTATTGCCGTTTGTATTGAGTAGGTTAAATAATATTTGATTAGTTTGACGACGGCTTGTCAAGAGCATAAAGGATAGCAGCTTAGAGAAGACTGCAGTGTAATAAGTAAAGGGAGTTTGGGGATCCTTTTCTCTTTCTATGTTACTTTTACAGTGATTAATGCGGTACGAAGGGTGTTCGGTCAGACGCTAATTCATTCCTAAACCTCTTCTGAGTGAATTAGGAGCGTACCCCCAAGAAACTAAAATGATCCTTCTAGGTAAGATGTCCAGTTTAGCGAGCCAAACACTCTAGAGTCTTATTGACCATCCGTGCCAACTAGGTATCTTTCGGTCCGAGTTGAAACCTTAGATTATTACCTCTAAGTCACCGGACAGATTTTAGTCGTTTTAAACTGAGTATACCCTCATGGATTCCATGAATATACATGCACAAGCATCTAGTTGATTGCACTACGCACAAGGTTAATTCAGACACTAAAACTAGGCCACTTTACATTGTCTAAATAAAAATCTAAAGTATTTTCACATTGAAAGAGGGATTCAACCCCAGCAAAAAATCTAACTACTCATAATCAGTATTTTAAATACAAGATCTATAAAGAACTGAGCACAAAACATGATAACAAGATGAGAGGAAGTAAACAGAGATCAAAAGATACAATTTTTTGAAAAGCAGCAGCCCACTCGAGCGAGTAGGGCTGCCAATCGCCAAAGAGACTGTCCCTGCGCTCACTACCTTGAGAGGCTCTGTTGCAGAGCTGTCTCCTCACTCACTATTATACTAAACTCTAATTTTTCTATGCTAAGCTATGCCTTCGCCTGATCTCTTAAAAATGTGCATCTTGTTCTCCTACAGTAGCTTGTTTCTTCACTTGGATTTTGCTTCGTACACCCAACAACAACTGCATTAGGAGCGTCAATTCATTACTCGACTTTTCAGGCTCAATTCCAGCGGCTCCTTCTTGGCAGTTTGGCGGTGATCTTTAGGACCATAGAGTCACATTGCACTACTTTTCCTTTGCTGCTAAGTTTTGCTCCATTCCGGTAAGAATTGAGCCAAGGAAATGGTCCCAAAATTACCTTTTGAATCAGGAAAAGACAGAATTGGTCCTGTAAAAGTTTCTTCAATTTTCGCACTTTCGGTCCAATCAGCTTGTGGTGCCTTTTTGCTAATTTTGCTCAGAATTTGGCTAATATTTTGATTAGATCCCTGATCAGAGGATAATTTAGAAATTGCTTAGTAGTATACAATTCTAGCCTAAATTCTATTATTTTACAAGAAAAAAAGACTAAAAGTAATGCTCATAATCATGCATATTTGACACTCATCAAGCCACAAAAAGCTCTTACAGATCTTTTCTTTAGAAATTTGGGAGCTGGAGGGTTCTGGTGGAACTAGTTGCTCTGGCCATATATTACTATAGTACTATGTATATGTTCGGTCAGCGACAGTCCGGGGGTCAGTTGACGACCGGGCACTTAACTGGTTCCGCTCTTGATATCATCTTTGTTTTAAAAGGAAGTCTACATTGAGTTTTGAAATCTGAACTAGTTTTGTTGTACTAGTTTTAGTACAAATTTAAAAAACTTAATATGGATTACATAAAGACTCTATGAATATTTTGGATCCTATATAATAATTCTAATCCTAGAAACGCACTCAATGGTAATTTTTCCCCTTCATTTTTCTTCGTCAAATCAAATGTAGCCAAATTGCAAAAACATAGGTGAATGGTGTGCGTATCAGATTCATGATTTTATTTAGGTCAATTAGACTGAAATTCGTGGTTTGGTTTGGTCCGGTGCAACTACCGGAAAACCGCACATAATGTATTTGTTCAAATTAGTAATAGCATGGATAAAAGAGAATATCAACTACCATATTAAATAATAAATAATAATTTGTTGAATATCCTAAATACTACTGTAAACTACTCGGGAGTGGGAGGGTTGGGTGGGGTGGTTAGGAGTTTAAGATGGGGATGATTATTACCAGGAGGTCGAGGGTACGATTTTCACTGAAACCATCTAATTATTATTTTTTTTAAAAGGAAAATACTGCAAACAACTTCGACATATTCATATCAAAAAGAATAATAATCATATATATGAAAAAGAATCAAAATCATATTCCATTAGTTCAATAATTGGAAACTTAGAACCACAATATGTTTAAAATCAATTGGATTTTGAATTTTGAACATACATATTACATTATTATCGATAATATTGAAATATATATTCAAAGAGACTTAACAATGCTCTAACTATCAGATGACAATACAGTTAGAAGAAACATACATATAGTATTAATGTTTTATTATTAAATTATTATTTACTATCAAATGGCAATACACTTAAAATGATATTGCATGGTTTCACTAATCATCAATTAATAAATTTATTTAGCTTTTGAAATTTCTATAATAATTAATTACGGGTTGTTGGAATAGTTTTTTCATTTAGTGTTAAATGTACAATGTACATTATGACTGACTCATGAAAGATTTTAACTAAAAAAATTTAATTAGTGTAATGTAATTGAAAATAACATTTTGGTTCAAATGTTCATCGAACTAAAAAAACCGTAGGTATTTCGATTTTTCGGTTTTGGTCAACCGTTCGCTTAAATTTCTTTTAAAAAATTATAAATCCAATTTATCCGGACTGAAACCCTCGAATTGCGCCAACCCATAGATGGAAAATTGCGGCTTTGTATTTGTTTTAAAGTTTGGGATGATCTGTAATAAGATTAAATATTAGGGTGATGGATGTAATTTAACCATGTTTTTCTCTATAGTTTAGTCAAACTTCGGAATTCGTCGTAATTTCCCCCACTGCAATCTGAAGTCCCCAGGCTCCCCCTTTACTGGGAGCTATTCCAAATTCCAAACCAATGACAAGACTGTGATTCAGTTCAGACTTCTGACCAATTCAATCCTTTCTTTTCTCGCCAGTTGCCGTCGGTCACCAATTCAGAATTTCAGCCCACGTCAGACTTCGCCGATCGCGAGTTTGCCGTCGGCCATCCGTCGTTTTATTGCAATTTTCTGATCAATTTCCCGGCGGTATCAGGTTCCGATTCTTCTCGACTGTTAACTAAATTGTTCACTGTTATTTTTCCTTTTCCTTCCCTTTTTTTCCTTTTAAGTTTTTGAATTTTTTGTGGATTCAGATGGAATTGAACTCGATACTTGTTGTATAGAGGGAAACAGAGAGGGAGGAAAGAATGAAGCGTTTTGTTTATATTAATGATGATGATTTGGCTCAAGATGTTTACTGTGACAACCGCATTTCGAATAGGAAATATACCGTGTTGAATTTTCTGCCCAAAAATCTATGGGAGCAGTTCAGGTAACCTTTTGTTTTGCAACTCTTGAGTTTTCATAAAATAGTAACTGGTGCAGAGAAGAGTTTGTATTTTTTGATTTGGCTATTTATGATTTATGTGGCTAATGGTTTATGATTCACCCATGGTTGAACGGGATAGATTGCCGATTTGCTCATTTAGGAGTCTTTTGGATTAATCTTATAACTTTCTAGCTTTGGCAAAATCTAGGATTCAAAGGAGTGAAATTATAGTAATTTTAGATGTTAATTACTAATTAGAGTTTCTTCTTTTGTTAATTTCAGTTGAAATCCTTGATCAGCACATATTTTCCTTGTCTATTTTACTATCTCATACCTTTGAAAAAATCAGCTATAGGATTAACTGTTTACTTATAATGAATGAACTGAAATCATGTGTAATCTGTTCAAGTGTAATCTTCTTTTCTATACTGGTAACTGAAGAATGTATTATAAGGAAACTGAGAAATTTGTTTGAGATGAAATTTGAATTCCATGCGCTTCACCTGCTTCTTAATAATGTTACAATGGGACTAATGCGATGTCTGGACTGTGATATTACATATCACTCATCTGACTGCATGATGCATGTATCTGGTTGGAATTACGATAATTAATTCCATTAATTCTCTTACGTAATTTACACATTCGCTTGATAATATTTGTTTAATCTTCCATGTTTGAAACTCTTATTAGAGTTTAACATTTGTGAGAAAATATAAAATCTAAATTTTCCTAGCGAATCCCCTGTCGTGTACTTTGATATATATTACTCTATCTAAATACATTGTCATTCAAATAGTAAAATGCAATTAGTTTTGATAATATTTATAGTTTAGATCTGTGCTTATGGTTGAACGTCTACCTATGCATCAATATCTTTCTATTCATCAGTGTCGATCCCCTCTCTTTTTTCTAACAACTGTATTTTGTCTTTTCCAGCCGGTTTATGAACCAATACTTTTTGCTAATAGCTTGCCTTCAACTATGGTCACTTATAACTCCGGTTAATCCTGCAAGCACATGGGGCCCACTTATTTTCATATTTGCTGTTTCAGCAACCAAAGAGGCTTGGGATGATTACAATAGGTATCTCTCTGACAAGAAGGCAAATGAGAAAGAAGTGTGGGCTGTAAGGCATGGTGTTAAAAAACTTGTATGTGATTTTCTTGTCACCATCTACCGTTTTATGGGTTGCATTTTCTATATTGTTGGCTCTTTTCTTGTGCTGGAATTCAGACATGTTCTTTTTTCTTAGCATAATTTTGGGCTTTTCCAGTTAATTAATTGATGAACATTTGTAACTTTTGGAAGATGAGGAAGATTCCTGACATATGTACGATAAAGTGGTGGAACTTAACGGTAAAATAAAGGGATATGTTCACTAAAGCGGTAACTGGAACATCAACTTGAAGATTGTCGAATAAGGGAACTTCGAAAACTTAACTGAATGAAAATAATTTTTATAAATGGTCTTTATTGACATAAAAAAGACACATGATATGTTAACCAAAAAAAAAAAAAAAAAAAGACACTGGACATTTAATAACCTTTTTTCCTTTTTTTGGGGGGTTTGTAATGTAAAAGGACTGGTAAGTATAGCTCTTATAATAAAATCTAACAAACATATCTAAGGACGTAAAACTATGTGTAAGGACGCATGTAGGAATTGGGTAAATTTTACATAACTTGTGTCTACATTAGTAGTCAACTTTGAGTCCTGCATTCTTTCTTATTGTAATTGATGGAACTCCCTGCTTAATACCATTCCCAAATATATGTTATTTATGGGCAATGCATCTGATGTTGCACCCTTGTTCTATGCCAGATTCAAGCACAAAATATTCATGTGGGCAACATAGTTTGGCTCCGTGAGAATGATGAAGTACCATGTGATCTAGCTTTAATCGGTACCTCAGATCCACAAGGCCTTTGCTATATTGAGGTGACTAAAGCTGCACTTCTCTCTTGTATGAAACATTTATGTCAAAATTGTTGCTTTTTACATCGGTATACTTAGGAGCCAAGTGTGATGCAACATGATTGGAAGAGATATGGCATGTGAATTTGTTAAAATGTTAAGCAGTACTTGATATATGAAACTAATAATTACCCAAATAAAAGGAAAGGGATAGGGCAAAAAGAACAGAAGAACCTATGCATTACGATTGAAAGATATTTTGGTATGTGGATACGTTAAAATGGTACCCAGTACTGGAAGTATGAAACTAAGAAAAAGTTACTCAAATAGAAGGAAAGTGGTGGTTCAAAAAGAACAGAAGAAACTAGTTATAAGGATATGATAGATTTAAACCTAAATAACATGTTTTTAACAAAACTCAATGGGGAGGTAGGACCCATAAAGTCGAAGATTTATTGGTGGTAAGTTAATAATTGTACAGATGACCTGTAATATCCATAATTGGTGCTTGTGTTAAATGAGGATGGTTTCAATGGGTAAAAAGAGTTATGAATCATCGGATTCTGATTAGTTATCACTCATACTTATATTGTACAATGTTTGAAGTTTTGAATGCGTAACTTGAAGAAAGTGCCCCATATGCATCATGTCATGTTTCTGGAGCCTATGTAGGCAAAACTTATTTGTATTTTAAGCTCCGTTGAAGGCTTTCCTCTGTTCTCTCACTTTTGGGTTACAACTGTGAACATTAATTTGTTTAGACTGCTGCACTCGATGGAGAGACTGACCTTAAGACAAGGGTTATTCCTTCTGCTTGCATGGGAATAGATGTTGACTTGCTGCACAAAGTCAAGGTGAGACAAGTTAATACATATCTTAGTGGGTAGAGATACTTTTGCACTATTTTTACCTTTTTGTTTCTGATTGTTCCTTTGTCAGGGTGTCATTGAATGTCCTAAGCCAGATAATGACATCCGGAGATTTGATGCCAATTTGCGTCTGTTTCCTCCATTTCTTGATAATGATGTATGCCCTTTAACGATAAAAAATACAATTCTGCAATCTTGCTACTTAAGAAACACGGAGTGGGCTTGCGGTGTTGCTGTTTACACAGGTAACTACTATTTTGCTACAAAGTACAGAATTTTTAACCCTATTTCGAGTAATTTTTCATCAAATTTAGCTGTTGAATCGTATATATTGCCTAAAAGAAGTTTATGTCATCTTCATTTTTGCACACTATTTAAAATTTTGAATAAGATTTAGAATTAGTCCGGCTAAAGCTCCGTATGCGCCTCCAGGAAATATAAGAAATGATTTATTTAAAAAACTCCACCCAAGAGTTCTAGTTTGTATGGTAATGTGAGTTTTGTTGCTGAAGAAGGCATTTGCCTTGCACTGATTCAGAATATCGGAAGTGGTTACCCAATAAAAAACATGTTCACATATGCATAACTAGGTGGAATTAAAAAATTCAAATTTTGCTTTCTGAATTTCTCAAAGATTTTATACATCTGATATCTCTTTTTCACACAGGGAATGAAACCAAATTGGGTATGAGTCGGGGTGTACCTGAACCAAAGCTCACAGCAGTGGATGCTATGATTGACAAGCTGACTGGAGCAATATTTGTTTTTCAAATAGTTGTGGTCACGGTCCTTGGAGTAGCTGGAAATGTGTGGAAGGAGACAGAAGCAAGAAAGGTTGTTTATCTCATCTGGTTTTATGTTGTATAGCAAGGAATCATGGACCAAAGGTCCAAGTGTCATAATTTTACCTCACTATTGTTTTTAGTGAAAAATGAAAGCAAATATTGGATAATCTTACCTTCTGTTCCAAATTGCCAACTTTGCTTCACCGGTTATCTTTACAGGCAGCTTTTTGAATTGTTCTTAGCATTATACCCTAGAAATGCTCTTTACTTACCTACTGAAATGGTGCTTAGCTAGATGATATGTTTTCAAAGTTTCAAATATCACTTTCAGTGCATTTGTTTATATGGCTGCTATATCTTTATTAACATAAAGAAAGCTGGAAACCATCTTCGGCATTTTCATGTCTAAGTTCTTTTTCAGGCTCTCCTACTGCATTCTTATGACTAGTCGATTGTTCAGAAGCTGACTAAATTTATTCAGTACTTTAAAGTGCAACGATGATTTAAGTTTTGAATCCATTTGGACCTAATATGAATGTGTGTAACAATGATCTTATCCTAATCTAATACAGGTACCTTAAAAATAAAAAAAATAAAAAAACAAAAAGAAAAATCATCTTCTGAGTGAAAAAAGTATGAAGATCATGACGCATTAAACACCTGTTACTTGTGTTTGAATGATTCTTATTTTGTGCATTCTTACTGGAGGCATTTTTGTCCCTCCATAAAGTGGTGGAGTACTCATACTTTGTTGTTGATTTACTTGTAGCTATGGTATGTGCAATATCCAAAAGAAGGGCCATGGTATGAGCTATTGGTGATTCCTTTGCGCTTTGAGCTTCTTTGTTCCATAATGATTCCCATATCTATAAAGGTAAGTATAAAATGCTGGATTTTTTTCAGAACCTTTCTTATAATCACAATCCTTTGGGTCTTGCTTATAGACTAGGAAATATCTTTATCTTGTTAGTTGATTGACCAATAAACTATATTCTAACACTCGCGTGAACATAGTAATGAGAAGTTCATTGTACTCCCTCCGGTCCTTATGATAAGGCATTTCAATTTGTCCTAAATTTCATTTATTATGGTATTCCAATTGAAAATTAAACCTTAAAAATATTTTATAATAATTGGGAGAACACAATAAATGTAAAAATACATTTAAGCTTTTAATTTTAATTCGAAAAACATACTAAATGAAATTTAGGACAAAAAATCAAAATGCCTTATAGTCAGGACTGGAGGGAGTACATGGTAACAAGGATAGGAGGTTTTGAAATCACTGGATCAATGTTCTTGAGTATGAGACTTAAAACCAATATGATCTTGGTAGAAAGATCTACTTGACATCAAACGTATCATGATATTATTTCTTTCGTTTGGTAGTAATTTGAGAAAGCTTAACCAGGTGCCCTCTTTTAAATGGCTGATACGTGCAGTTGGGCCATTATACAGATCTATCAGAGACAGATTAATGCGAAACTAAAAGGTGGTAAATTTGATTAGTTTGGTAGTATGATAGGATATGATGAAGTAAAAGGTAGTTTGAAGTTGGTGGCTATGTGTGTCACTGTTAATTTGTTGAACGGAGATGAATTTGTTTCCATTTTAAAATTTCATTGCGAAAATAAGTGAGCTTTTGAAAGCTAATTTCTGTACCTAACTTATCTTTTACAATCAAATTGTGCATTTATTATAGCTGGAATAGTTGTCCACTGTTGATGGATATGTTAACTTGATCTATTCTGATTTGGTGGAAGTGTTTCAAATGTTCAGTCATTTACTTATCCTACTGATAAGCTGGCAGGTCTCTCTAGATCTGGTAAAAAGTTTGTATGCAAAGTTTATCGACTGGGACAACCAGATGGTTGATCAAGAGACTGGAATCCCTGCCCATGCGACGAAGTAATGAAAATTATTTTGTCTGTTTTTCTTTCTACTTTCAGGCATTTTGGTTTTTTTTATTGATTTGAGTTTCATCCTCTATCTATGGCAGCACAGCAATAAGTGAGGACTTAGGTCAAGTGGAGTACATATTGACTGATAAAACAGGAACCTTAACAGAGAATAAAATGATATTTAAAAGATGTTGTATTAGTGGAACTCTTTATGGAAACGAGCTTGGAGATGCTTTGAAAGGTATTGTTTGTTGTCCTTTCAAATTGTGATCAGTTGGTCCGTTCTGGTGATCTTGTTATCTGTGGTCATTGATCTATTTATATCTGCTGGTGTTTTTTCGGGAGCTTGATATAAAAGAATGTCCTTCAAATTGTCATACAACTTTTGTACCTGAGTTGTGAATTTTTCTTAATCTTTAATTTTTTTTTTTTTTTCCGCTTTTTGTTGGATAAGTTTTGGGAAAATGAAATTGAGGAAGATCAGTGCAATGGACTCAAATATATTTGATTAATCTTTGATTGGCACCCTGTTTATAATGTAGTACTACACTACCTTCACCATTCCCTTAGGCTCAAATATGGAAGAATCACTTTATGATTGTTAACCTTATGGTTTTGAGGTTTTTCTCCTGATTTTCTTGAGCAATGCGTTTTGTTCCTTACAAAAAAATATTGCTACAAATGATTTTGAACCAAAATGTTGTGGTTAGTTTATGACCTTTTAACTGTCAAGACTGAAAGGGAATAATCTGCGCTTTCTGTTGTATAATGTGTAAGTAATAGAACCTTGTTTAGTATTTTTGACTTCTTTATGTTCAAGCATTTCATTTAGTTGGATATTGAAATAGTCGCTCGATTTCTTATGGTCCTTTAATGAAATTGTGTGTCGTGTCTGACTTTTGGGGTACAAGAATTTTAGATATCACTGAAAGAGCGGGATTTGTTGTTTTGTTCTCTCGGGTGAAATCGTTATTATTTTTGTGAACTCTGCCTATGGTCTGGAAGGCAGATTAGAAGGAAGTAGAAGTTGATATTTTAACATAAAATTGTCACATTTTATGATCACTGATAAAAAAAGAATTATGTGATGGATAAATTGTGAAAATGTGAGTAAAAGAATAAGAAATAGAGTGACATTCATACGACCTAAGATGTTTTGTGCATTAAGTGTTTATTGATTAAATATGAAATGAACAAATAATGAGGAATAAGTGTGTCGAAATGGTTGAATTACTAATGAAAAATTAGAAAGGAAGTGAGTTTGGTCCTGATAGATGAGAAATGAGAGACACGCTTAAGATGAGTTGGACATCTAGTAGTAAGCCTTCACATGCTATGTGTCTAGAAAAACTGAGATAAACTAATCAATTTAAAAAGGGATGGGGGAAAACTTAAAAGACCTGTAGAAAAACTATTGAATTAGACGTCAGTTGTCTTTTCACTAATCTGGTGTTTAATTATGCATATTTGCACTGAGGGTGATGCCCATGCAGGTCTAGTAGATTGAATTTAATGATTCTATTCTATTGACAATCTTTAACTTCATTAATTTATCTAATCGGATCTTATGTTTGTTGGTATTTTCTCTCTGTAGACCTTTAGAGATTCTTTCAGGTTCTAATGCTTTCTAATTTGTTTGATCTGGCTATAAACAGATGAGGAATTGTCTAATGCTGTTGCCAGTGGTTCTCCTGATGTCATCATGTTTCTAACAGTTATGGCATTGTGTAACACAGTAATTCCAATACGTAGGTAATTCAACTGGACATATTGTATACTTGTGACATATATGATATTGGAAATAGTTTTTGTGATGCACTGGACTTGTGCCATGTTTGTTCTTTGAGTGGGCATTTTAGTTCTGAGAATCATTATGTTTATTTGATCCGTGTGCAGCAAAAATGGCACAATCTTATACAAGGCTCAATCTCAAGATGAGGAAGCTCTTGTGCGTGCAGCTGCTGGCTTGCATATGATTTTGTTTAATAAGAACTCAAAGATTCTTGGTATTGGTTACCTTCAATCTAGTATGGGAAGTTATGTTAGTTGTTTGAATTTTATTGGCATCTTATCTAAATTGGATGTTTTTCATCTTCCACAGAAATCAATTTTAATGCTTCTGTTATCCAGTATGAAGTACTAGATATTCTAGAGTTCACTTCAGACAGAAAAAGAATGTCTGTGGTGGTGAAGGCCTGTCAAAGTGGAAGAATTCTCCTGCTGTCGAAAGGAGCTGATGAGGCACTTTTCCCGTGTGCTCTTGCTGGTGATGATTCTATTCCCTAACTAGCTATAATAAGCTCATGCAGCATAATCTGGGTTTCACTGACTGATATCAGGGTCTGAAAGTAGGAGATGTGTGAAAGGAAAAGTAGTTAATATTTGGACAGGTGAGATAAATCACAGAACCTTAGGCTTCATCCATAGGTTAAGTAAGATGCCACTTTAAGAAGCAATCCTGCTGGGAAATGTCTTGCAACTCAATATCTAAGTGATTTTCTCTTGAAGGAGAAATGCAGTACATGTATATTAAATAATTGGTTAAGATTAATTCAATATATTTTTCCTTCGACGCTGCTTATTAACTAGCACGTTTTGAAGCATAAATCTCAGGTGTAGCATTACTATTGAAATAACCTTAATACTTTGTTTCTAATGTTTAACTTCTTAAAATTAGTATAACATGTGAATACCGTGATTCTCCGCAATGCAAAAATTGACATGTTTAAGGGTTCTATGAGATTAGCTGTTGATAAATGGGGCTGCATTGAGGTGACTGAACCTGCGCAGTTTGTGGTTAAAGAAGATAACAATCTGTCATCCCTACTAGAGTTCTTGTGACTCTGATGACTTACAAGAGAATCCTGACTAGTCAGTCTTTTCGTCATGTATGATTGAAAAAAACTTGTCCAGTTGAATGGTCCATAGTGATGAGATTCCGATAGATTGATTCTACGAGCTCTTTGCTCTCTCCATAAAAAACCTTTAAAGGCATTCTGTAAGATTGATAGTTAGTCTCTGGCTACTTCTGGTAATAAATATATCAATTATGTGCCTTGGGTCGCAACAGAAACAGCCTCTTTGCATAATTACAAGGGTAAGGCTGCGTTCAACTGACCCCCAGTCTCCTACTTGGTTCGGAATATCCTGGGTACGTTGTTGTTGTTGTTGTTGTTGTTGTTGTTGTTGTATTTCATCCCTTTATGGAAATGTTCATGGGAGTTTACTGCTAAATATAAGCTGTTTCCTTTGTATGGATGTAGATAATCTCGAGTAAGTTTTGGCCCTACAAACAATAGTTGACCTTAAATAGTTATTTTATGCCTGTGTGTAGATGATATTGCTTCTCGCATGAGTTCTATCTTTCAAATTTCCTTTGAGTTGACCATGTGTATGTTTCTGCTCAAACCATTACAGTTTTATTAAACTTGTGATGTGATTCATTTTAGGACAGCAAATGAGGACCTTTTCTGAAGCAGTTGAACAATATTCCCAACTTGGACTGCGGACATTGTGCTTGGCTTGGCGTGAGCTGGAGGAAGATGAATACCGAGAATGGTCTTTGCTGTTCAAAGAGGCTAATAGTACATTGGTTGACAGGGAGGTAATGATTTTTTGGTTGTCTCACTAACCATATATGAAAAGAAGAAAAAATTAACAATTAACATATCAAACAAAATATAGTGGAGAAAAATAATGAACCATGGGAATGAAGTAGACCAGAATGAGGTGTATTTTGGGGCTATGTTTTTCCTTTTACAGAATCTTTATTTATTTAGAGAAGTTGGATTCAAGATTCTTATCCCTCCCTTCCCCCCTTTTCTGGTCTATAGTGGAGGGTCGCTGAGGTCTGCCAGAGATTAGAACATGACCTTCAAGTACTTGGTGTTGCTGCCATCGAAGATCGCCTACAGGTATGACAATCTGTGTTTTTCATGGTCATCTTCCAGGAAAGTTTTGGATCTTTTGACTTGCCTTTGGAATTTATTGCTATCATTTTATGGTTGCTTCCACTCCTTTATTTTAGCTTGTTATCTCCCACCAGGACGGTGTACCAGAAACAATTGAAACCCTTAGAAAGGCTGGAATAAACTTCTGGATGCTAACTGGAGACAAGCAGAACACTGCTATACAGATTGCTCTCTCCTGCAATTTTGTTTCTCCTGGTAATTTTTTCTTTTCTTTAAATTATTTTACTCATCGTATTGGCCAGTCGTTGACAAGCAGGCAAGATATCTTTGGCCCTACATCACTTTTACTGCCAGTCATAAACTTCATAGTTTGCTGAAATATGAGAAAGCATTCAAGTTTTTTCTCAGATTTGACGTATTCCATCACTTCCTTACTGGTCCTTATGTGAAATTATGCTTTTATTCCTCTCTAGCGGCTTGCACTCAGATGCATCCATTATATATGTCGCATGAATGTCATCTGTACTTTGATGTGCAATCTAATGAAAATGAGCTCTAACTTTATCGCGAATGTGATAAGAGTCACGAGTCGTGGGATTTAACAACTATTTCTTAAAGAAAATTGGATCTTGATAGTGCATATACTCTGCTGGACTAGTTTGGAACTAGCGGGAGTGATGTTGACTGATTATATTGAGTGGAACTTTCTTGGAACTTTTAATTTAGACAGGTATCGTCTTTATATTATCAGTTAACAGCTTCATGCTTTTCATTCTAATTTCTTATAGAGCCTAGAGGCCAGCTTCTGTTGATTAATGGCAAAACCGAGGATGAAGTATGTCAAAGTCTTGAGAGGGTGTTAATGACAATGAGAATATCAAGTTCAGAGCCAAAGGTACCCCATAAAAGAAGTTTGTTCTGTTATTTTTCATATAGACTTGACAGAAATTCCTCATTGTATGTTAAATTTCTTAAAGTGCTAGCAGTATTTTCCTTGTTCGAATGAGAATATGTCGCTATTATACACTGAACGAGACATGAGGTTGCCATAATCTATTTGCTCTTTGCTCTAAGTTGGACTGAATTTTAAAGCTTTATAGTAATTACAAACCCTTGTTAGTGGTTTGCAAATTACAATGAATTTCCATGGTTATTTCCACTTTGTATTAGTTACTAGCATATTTAGTTTAAGATTGCACAATTTAACTCTTTGAAGTCTGAGTATTTCTGAGTTTCCTCCATTGACCAAATACTTCTGCACCTCTTTCAGTCATTTCTTCATCCACGTTTTGACCCTCGATGGTCACCCTATGTGTGTAAAAATTAGGATTATCCTCCTGAGTTGTTTGGTTTTCTCTTGAAATCTAAACACCTGATTATGTAGATTTTTGTTTATTCCTCTTACATAAATTCTTTCTTAAATCAATCAAAGGTGTTACTAAAAGTTTCTTGGGTCTAGGATAAAGGGAGGTGGGTAAATGTGAAGAACCGGACACCATTAATTAAATACCAATAGGACCTGTCAGATGTTTGCTTTACTTCATGCTAGTGTTTATTAGTGTTTGTTTAATTGAACAGTAAGTAAATCTCGTGCTCTACTGCTCAAACAGTCCTATTTGGTTTAAAATATATCTTGTATTTCTTGTTCTAGTTCCCTAACTGTTTAAATGGTCAGTGGATTTATTTTAGTTTTTGGCAGAACTGTTTAGAGTCTGTTCAAGATAGGAATGTCAATGTATCGTATTATCTCAGTCTGGAACAGCTAAAATGTGAATTGGATCTGTACTTAAGCACTTTCCTTGTAGTTTTTTTTTTTCTTTTTTTCTTTTTTTGGTCCTCATGGTAGACTAGGATCAATTGAAGTTCCAAGATCAAGAACATTACAAAAGAAAAGAACCATAGAACCCAGTTCTAGGGCTAAGGAACAGAGCAGAGATTTCTTTATTTTTTGTTCCAAAGTAAACAAAAAATTTTCACACAATTGCTGCAAAAACATGTTCCACAGTCGTATAAATATATGTTATATACAGCTTCATTCCCGGCTTTTAGGATAATTGGAGTGTAGAAACTACCTTGAGGCTTATGACTTCCTAACGAGCTTTGTTTAAATAGCCTAGTCAGTCTACTTGAATTTTATCTGTCCTGCATTACTATTGTCTTACGGAGCTGAGAAAAACTATTGCCAGTAATGAAGACTTCAAGTGTGTAGAATTGTGTTGATTACAATGTGGTTCAGTTTTATTCCATACAGTTGTGTTCTTGACGTCATTATTATTATTCATTTGGACACTATTCAGTTCCATGTTCTGATGATGCAACTGTGCCGAACTAATATTCCTGTTCACTGGAATGACTGCTTTACTATTTATCAAGTTGACTTCGACTGAGACCCTGATTTCTTATATTGAATTATTTATGAACTCCGTTTTCTTCTTGGGAGGAAGTTGTGAACCCTTTATTGCATTTTCCCCTAGATGAGTAAATCAGATCCTCTTAACTTTTTGTATACATATTTATACAAATATGTACAATAACTACCAGAAACAACCTCTTTGCGAAAAGCAATGGTTACAGTGAGTAAAAATCTCCTCCCTCCTCCCAGAAACAGACGCACATGCGCACTTACGATTGATTATGGTAATGCGTGTTATAAGTTAAGTAGCTTTGGCAATATATCTGAGAATAGTGATAATGGGTGTCTTATCTTAGTGTCTGCGGGACTTAGAACACTGGGAGGACAAAATCTTAAGAATTAAAATAATCCAGTAAGTTTAGGAATTCCTCTGCAATTTTTTTCAAAGTTAAAACTCTATGCTCATGGCTATATGAATAGGCTAATAATATAATACTCCCTCCCATGCCCTTGTGTAGAATGAGCACGTAAACAACAAATTTCTCAATTGAGTATACTCACTAGTGCAGTTGATGCAGTAACCTGCGGAGGATGAAACCGTTTAAGTATTATGATTGAAATTTTTGGTTTTACGTGTACGTGAAGTTCATACATTTTAAGGAAAATTTTATTGGTGAATCTTTCGAGAACTATACATCACCTTGTTAATTCATTGCTTTTATGTAGGGGAATTGGCTAACTTTTCATCTTTCATCCAATCTCTCTCTCTCTCTCTCTGTCTCTTTCTGTCTCTCTCCAGGATGTTGCATTTGTGATTGATGGATGGGCTCTTGAAATCGCTATGAAGCATTATCGGAAAGCATTTGGTGAACTGGCAATGCTAACAAAGACAGCTATTTGCTGTCGTGTCACTCCATCTCAAAAAGCGCAGGTTTCTTTGGCTCTTCTTGTCTGCATACCATTTTTTTTTGCCAATTATAGAAGATCGTTTCATTTGGGGATGGTATTGGTTGATAAAGTTAAGTAGCATGATCCTTGTGAGTTTGTTATTAACTTATAAATTTACTAAACAAGAAAAAAAATGGTTGTGAATGATTTGAAATGAGTTGTTCATTTGCTTGCCATATCTGTGAGCTGTTGATGTCCTTTATGTGGAATAGCCAACCCGAAAATTTATAATCTAAAATTCTGATGGACTATGAATAGCACGTTTCCAAAGACCTCACGTCAGGATTTTGTGTTTGTTTTAGGGCAAATGCATCTTCTTTTGCCAATATTGGAAATTTTTAGTGGCTGCTTGGTTAAAATTTCATTATTTTAATTTGATATCCGGATGATTGTAAATAATTGATTACTTATACCATGTAGGTCTTGGGTGTGGGGAAGATTAGATAGATATGTTTGACTGCTTTGATTGGGTGAAGTTCTGGGTGGTGGAAGATGGGGATGGTGTGGAAGGTGTTAGGTCTTTGTCTTGGGAAGTGGGAAATGTCTAATGCAATAATTCTCAGAGATAAAGAAGCATTTTCATTTTGGGGCATCATATTTTTGTGGTTGCGCTGTTGGAAGTTTGAATGACATAGTCTTAGTTTTTTTCCTGAATGAAGATTTTAGGACTTCAGGTATTATGACTTGCAAAACATATGGTTCTCCCACCTCCCATTCCATAATTTTCTGTAATTATTGCTGGAATTGAGTTAACATAAGTAGATGAGGTAGATTTTGGACTTGGGGAACTGCCAGCAAACCACTTTCTAACTTTATCCTAGTAATTAGATTGGAAACATTCAAGACGGACCGGTGTATAAATCTCTTGTGCAGGGTCTCAGGAACGGTTGGGCCATTTAGGCCTGCTGTGTATGGCATTACTTGTACTTGTAAGGGGTTGTTTCCAGTAATGAACTGGTGACCTGAGATCACATGCCAACAGCCTTTACCTCCATCATTGCTAATTTATGGAATGTATACGTTTGTAAAAAGTCTATTGGAAATGCTTTTGGACAGATCTGATAATGTATGAATTATCTTTTTACCAGCTGTTCAATTCATTAAGTTCTATAAGCTATTGCTGTCGACTTTTTCCCCCCTTCTATTGGCTGATCTGAGCATTGGATGTTCACTGAGTTGATTTATTTGCCTATAGTCCTCTCCTGTTGTTTCTAAATAATAATCTGTATTTTTATGGTTTCAGCTTGTAGAACTTCTGAAGATGTGCGATTTTAGAACATTGGCTATTGGGGATGGTGGCAATGATGTCCGTATGATTCAGCAAGCTGATATTGGGGTGGGCATAAGCGGAAGAGAAGGATTGCAAGCTGCAAGGGCAGCTGATTATAGCATTGGAAGTAAGTCAAGTTCTTCAATATCTTAAACTTCGATTTTGTACAAGAGCACCTGTTGTGGTAACAGCATAATTACCTTTTTCTTTTCTGTGGTTTATGCTTTGCAAGGTTGCTATAGAATTCTGAAAAAGGACATATTTGTCTCTTTTTTATGGAAACAAGATAACCTCTTTCTGAGTTCTGTCTTAACACTGAATAAGCATTTAGAGGTTTTATTTTTTGTTTGTTTGTGTTTTTCTTTTTTTTACTGGGAATATGCTGGGTATATTGTTGTTGTTGTTGTTGTGTTTTTCTTTTTTGTGTTTTTGTGGTCCTTTTACTATTCTTCGGATTTTATTTTTAGTGTTGTAGGAGAAGCAGAAGGCTTTTCTCTTTTAGAATGTACTCCCTCCATTTCAAAATAAGTATCATTCTAGAGTTTGCACACAGTTTAAGGAACACTTAAATAAGGTAGCTAAGTTACTAGAATATCCTCAACCAACCCCATTAAAATAATGCTCACCAATAATATTATTTCTTTTGAGGGTATGTTTGGAAATTTTTGACCAAAAATGCATTGAAATCCGAAATCGACACTTATTTTGGAATTTCTCCATTTTGCTAAAACGACACTTATTTCGGAATGGAGGGAGTATATATTGCCAGTTTCATGAAGGTCAGCAGTTATTGGTTGAAGCATTGATGCTTGAGTTATCACATCTTGCTTGTTCCTGTTAAGAAGTGGTTCAGGAAGGGAAAAGTTTGAAAAAAAAGAACATAGAAAGTATTAGAGGACTATGCTGAAAATTTGAACTTCTTCTCATTTGGATTCCCGGTCATGATAACTTTATGGAAAAAATGGCGTTTCTGTCTCTTTCGGATGGAATCAAGTTAATCTCTTATAACCTTACGCTGAATGAACATTTATAGAAGAGGGTTTTCTTTGGTGTTTGTGTTGTTAGTATTCCTCTTTGCATCTTTAGTCTACAACTACCTGCTTTGCATGTTTCTTTTGAGACCATTATGGACTTCATTTTATTTGATGGAATTTTAGTAACTAGTAAGTAGTAACTAGTAATTACAAGGGTAATTACAAGGGTAAGGCTGCGTACAACTGATCCCCGACCCCAACTTAGTTGGGAGGGGGACTATACTGGGTATGTTGACATTGACTTTGACAAGTAACGTCTGCTTCTGTCTTTGGCTTTGTAGAGTTCAGGTTTTTGAAGAGGCTTATCCTTGTCCACGGGCGCTATTCATACAATCGGACAGCTTTTCTTTCCCAATATTCGTTCTATAAATCTTTGCTGATATGTTTTATTCAGATCTTGTAAGTAACCTTTAGGTTTTGACCAGTAACTCCACCTCAATTTGTTCCTAGCATTACTGCACTTTTGATATTTCAATTAACTAATGCATCAATATTTTCAGTTTCTCTTTGACTTCAGGTGTCTCTGGTACAAGCCTTTTTAACTCTGTCAGTCTGATGGCCTATAATGTCTTCTACACCAGTATCCCGGTTATGGTGAGCGTTCTAGACAAAGATCTTAGTGAAAGAACTGTTATGCAGCATCCCCAGATACTATTTTATTGTCAAGCAGGAAGGTTTGGTCTTCAATCAGCTGAATTGTTTTTTCCGAGTTAACTTTTGGGATTCACAACTTGTTTCTAATGATGTATTTTTTTATTGAAACAGGCTACTCAATCCTAGCACATTTGCTGGGTGGTTTGGGCGCTCTCTGTTTCATGTCGGTGTTTCTCTTTGTAGTATTAAACTTATCTGTTTAAATGTTGAATGAAGGTGTCTTAAATTGTAGCAGAATAAAGAAATGTGCACTTTGCGCATGATTAATCTACAGATGAAGGTGTCTTAAAATATAAAGGAAAAAGGAAATTTTAGCTGAGCATGAACGAAGTAGAGCATTGTGCTTGATTGATCTATAAATGCTTTAGTTTGCATTGTGTTTTGTGAGATCTGTTCACGTCATTATCAGTCATTGGATGAAGTTGACTAATGATTTGGATTGGAAGAAATCTGAAAAGTAATTTGCATACCATGTTCTTGACTTGAATCTGTGATTGAACGGGGTAGTTTAAATGCACAACACTCCTTTCATAGTAAGCTTCTGAATGAACCAATCCTATGATATTGTTGCCATCCATTGCTGGGGAAGGAACTTTATTTCACCCTGTAATTTTATGTGCCATTTTCTGATCACAATTGTACTTTTCATGGCTCTATTAATTACATTCTTAACAACTGATCTTTTTAACATAATGAACCATGTCTAGCTTGCAGCCATTCTGACTTTTTGTTGTCGTCTTTGTCAGACCTTTCGTCATCGTAAACTATATATTCCATACCACAGTCTAATTAGCTAGAATGTTCTTGTCACATTGAGGGGAGGCTTTTTAATTTGGAAGTCCATATAATAATGTTTAATTTTTGTTGATACTTGTTTACTTAAAACAGCAGTTTACAAAGTCTTATTATTTAAATAGAAGCAATATTGGGACCTGATTTTGACTCTTGCAGGCCATTGTCGTCTTTGTCATCAGCATACACGCGTATGCTTTTGAGAAAAGTGAGATGGAGGAGCTCTCAATGGTCGCTTTGTCTGGTTGCATTTGGTTGCAGGCATTTGTCGTCGCGTTAGAGACCAAGTCTGTTACTCTCCAATCTTTTTATTTTATCCTTGAATTAAATTGAATAGGCCTGGTGGGCAGGTTTACCAAGGGTGGATTGGTTCCTTGTACTAATTTTCTGAAAATCAGGTTGTGAAAAATAAAAATCTTGTGTTAGAGAGAAGGATTTCGTGGTCTCTTTCGGCACTCGGTGTTAAGAGTTTTTTTAACCGGCGGTGGACTACATAACTGACACTTCGTTTTAGTACTCTATGGTTTTGGGAAATTTTGAACCTGCTTATATTGGTGAAAGCAAATATTGTTTTTATATATGATTACTTGCCTAATGCTGAGTGTGATTCGTGCAGTTCCTTCACACTACTGCAACATCTAGCCATCTGGGGAAACTTGTTGGCGTTCTACATGATCAATTTGGTAGTCAGTGCTGTGCCGGCCTCTGGGATGTATACAATAATGTTCCGCCTTTGCAGACAGCCATCTTATTGGATCACAATGCTTGTAAGCTATTCTTTTTCTTCTTTATGTCTTGCTTTCTTCTGGTCCATGAATCGCTCGACCCCTGATATCATCCTCATAACTGTTTTGGATCCAAGGAAAAGATCATTTCAGGTTGTCATTGGATGTTCTGTTTCCTTTATGTCTCAGATCATGTGAAAGAACTCATTATTCAGAATTGCCATTCGTTAAAAATGTTAGATACACTGAGCTAATAGCTGCTCTTTACAAAATTTCAGCTAATTGTTGCCACTGGAATGGGTCCTGTTCTGGCTCTGAAATACTTTAGATTCACATACCGTTCGAGTAAGATAAATATACTTCAGCAAGCTGAACGTTTGGGTGGACCGATCATGACATTGGGGAGTATAGAGCCACAGTCAAGACCCTTAGAAGAAGTTTTGCCGTTGATTTCTCAACCCAGGAGTTGCAGCCCTGTATATGAACCTCTGCTCTCCGATGCTGCAAATGCCACAAGGCGATCTTTCGGAACTGCAGCGCCTTTTGATTTATTTCAGTCACAATCACGGCTTTCTTCCAGCTATTCTAGAAATTGCAAGGATAATTAAAATCAGAATTAAAGAAATTGAGTTCTAGTGTTGTCAGCACAAAGACCTTCAATCTGAGTTTTTAGTCGATTGCTTGGTTCCGATGCTGGAATTTTCGGATGGCACAGTTAATTTATTGTAAATGTACCGAGGATAGTTGATAGGAGCCCTAAACGGGTATTATCAGGAGACTGTACAATTCATAAAACAAATCACAGGCTGAGAATACGTAATGATTGAGACTTAGAGTAAAAGGCATAAATAATTAAGTTAAAATGTACCTTCATAAATCACAGTCATCTAGTTCTATCTTTTTCTCGGTAATTTTGTGGAACGAGCTTAGTGATCTTTGGTACGAATAATACGATGTCCTGATCGGAATTGGAAAGTATGAAAAGTTTTACTCTCTCTATTCACAAATATATGTCGTTGGAGAGATTTCATAAAGTTTAAGGAGACAATAATTATTTTGTTAAAATTAACAAAATACTATAATACTTTCATTTATTCTTAATTCAATTGTAGTCCTAATAAAATTCAGTTCTAATACAATTCTACATTAAACATCACTACAATTTTCAATGTAAGGGTAATATTGGAAAAAAGTGACAAAATATGCCTCAATTTGTGAGAACGACATCTATTTTAGAATAATTGGTTTTTCCTTTAACGATATCTATTCACACTATTTTAGAATAATTAATTTTTCTTCTAACGATATCTATTTGTGAATAGAAGGAGTAATTTTTTTCCTTCCAGGACTGGTTAAAGACTCATCTTTTCCGATGCAATGAAGGGACTAGAACTGGATTAGCACATTTCACTTGACATTTTTATTGTACTTGTTTGTTTATAGTAGCACGACCATTTTGTTTTTACAATATATTATAAATAAATTTTGATATTACGAATTTATAATGAACATAAGTTTTTTTAAAAAAATTTGAGTAATATAATTTTTTTAATTTATATTTAGTATTTTTGGGTATTTATTTGTATTCTTTTTTTTTTATATATAATTTGGCAGAATTTGCGGAATGCTATTTGGGAAACGTACAATACACTTTTTGCTTTTCATCTTTTTGGATCAAAGGGAATTATTTTAAAAGTAAATAATCTAATGAAATATGCTCCTCCGTTGATGGTAATATTTGTGCAACATTGCGCATGCTCTTACATTTATCCACTAATAATTTACATTTCATCGACCTGTGAGAAAAACAAAAAACACTATCTCCACTAAACATGTGTACTTATTTACTTAAGGATAAAATTTAATTTTGACAAAAAAATAAAGGAAAAAATTGTAAAAAAAGGCACGGAAAAGATCAAATTTATTCTTAAGGGCATTGGCATTTTTTTAATATTACAGCATGAACATTAAAATAATCTCATATCTTTTAAAATTGAAAATGATTTGTTTGTCCTTTTTCCAAATCAAGCTACTACGGTAATTTTTCCCTTATCTCCTTTTGTTTCTCTCTCGTCCTTTTTTTTTTTTTTTCCCGTAGCCATCTCGTCAATTTCTGACTCTGCATGTGACTTACTTACTCCCTGGTATTAGTCTAATCCTAGTTTTGCTGAGAACTTGACGTTTATGATTTAATTTATGAGATGTTATGGATTGAAATAAGATTTCATAGTTTTTAAAAGAAGTATTATTGATCCAATTCGGTTTCAATTCTGTAGATAATATATATTAGTGGCGTTCATCTTTTTCAATTCGGTTTCAAGGAAGTATTATTGATGTTCATCTTTTTCAATTCGGTTTCATGGGATAATATTCAGAAATTGCTCAATACTTTTACCATTCTTAATATTTTTTTGTTGGAATTATGTTTATTTTAGAGATCTATTTGTGTTTTATGAAGGTGTTTTGTCATATTAATGCAGATTTGTGATTAGGGAACCTACATTTATTTACCGGTGTGTCTTGAGCATAACTCTATTTTTTTATTGGTACAAACTTGAGTTTGAGCTCTACTTAGATTAGTGCAAGACCTAAACTAAATTTGATTCTTCTCAATGTTGAATTGCAAATCGACAACACACGATATCCTGTGATCCAGAGAAGTATAAGAAATGTAATGCTAGTACTATATTTATAATAGAGTTTGTACACTCAGATGTATGTATTGATATAAAAATGTATTTGGTGATTCTCGAAGGAAAACTCTAGCTATTAAGCAGCTACCTTTGTGCAAAAGCATCTACGAAGGCATCGTCCTTGTATAAAATGATTATCTTTGTCTCCTTTGTACAATTTTATTCTGCCTTGGCATTAGCATCTCATTTTGCATAAATGACTATGTTTGGAAAGGCAGAAGTGATTGTGAATCAGCCTGGTAACAACCAATTGCCGAAGCAGAGACCGGACTCAAAGGAGCACTAGCAACGTTGCAAGAAGGGAGTCCCTTGACTGCTGAGCTAGACTGTTGGCCGGAACTGTATTGAGCTAGAATATTCAATTTATTGACAAAAAGAATTATTATTTGCCACTATTTTGAAGTAACTAACTAGTTGTTTCTGGGCATATTGTGCTGCAACCATCATGGACAACTGACGCGCTCGTTCCATATCTACAAATAATAATTTACAACACGATTCTACAATCTTTTGCTGCACAAGAGCTACCTGCTGTTGGGCAAGTTGAATTCCGTTGATTCCACTGGAAGTTGATTTCGCCGAGGTGGTTATCTGCTCAGCTTCATTTTTCAGCATACTGTGCTACAAAGCCAATTACACATACTTTCCTACAAAGCCAATTACTGCAGCATTAGAAAGCCCACTTCCGTATGGTGCTCTACATTAATATGAAAATAACAAGAAGATCATTAGTAAGAATATTTGAAGATAATAATAATACCTGCTATCTGAAAAATATCCTGAAGGACGTAATCAGAGTACAGCTTATCACAAATTAGAAATTATATATGTTATCTCATTTCCAAACGACGGATTTCTTTCATGGAAGTATTTCAAATTTCTACAATTTTGCCCGTGATCATGAGCCTAGACTCTCACCATCGCCAACCTTGGGTTTAAATGAATCCTAAACAATAACTAGTGGAAATAAGAAAAATAGAATGAAGGAGGGCATTTCTACTATGGAATTCCCAAAAAGTAAGAAGAAGAAAGTTATAATTTACAAAGAATAGTCGATTGGAACGATGAATAGTCCAGACTTTCAGAGTGCCCTTTTCGCTGCTAAATCTTTTTCTGAACTTGGTTAAGCAGCTTGTTGGGGGTGCAAACAGAAGTAGACAGGAAGAAGCCCTTAAGAAGAATAAGCCTGTTATTGTAGTTGGAACGCATGGAAGGATTACAGAGATAAGTGCAGCTGGAAAGCTTCAAAATCATAGCCGTCGTTACCTGGTCCTAGATGAAGTCGATCAAAAGTTCAAAACATCCTCTCCAATTGCACTCACTTTTATATAGAGCAATTTGTATATTGATAATATCGAATAAGAAGAAACGCTGAATTGAACTAATTCCATCAATGATTTCACTTTTAATAAATACCTGGTTGAATCTCTTCTAATTCCCTGACAATGACTCAGTACTGAAAGAAACAACATAATTCAAAATTAACTTAACCATTCATAATATTCAAGAAGACGAATCAAGATATTTTCCATAAGATCCCCTAAGAAAGAAATAACATAATTCAAATGAAAAATTAACCTGTAAATGTTACCTTATTCGACGACTTCATTCACCACGAAAGTCGTTTAACTTTCGCCAGCTACCAATCCCCTCTTTCATGAAAATTAGGGTTCTAATTCGGTTGTTTTCTCTATTAAAACTCACGAAATAAAACCATATAAGCTAAAATCCAAAAGAAGAAAACAACCAAACACAATTTGGATCCAAATAGTTGAGTTCAAGAATCTAGCTACCGCTCCCAATCGAGAAGAGAACAAACCAGTATTTGGCCATAAAAGGAAAAAAATAGTCTTTTATATTGTCATAAAACATTTAGATGCATTTAAGAAATTTACAAAAAAAAAAAAATGTCAATGCCCTTAAGAATAAATGTGATCTTGCCCATGCCCTTTTAAAAAATTTTCCCAAAAAACAAAATTTCGACTGAAAAGTTACAAAAAAAATATGGGATTATACTACTCTACATCAGTCATTATTTTTCTTTTTTTTCACTATTTGTTGTCTCTATACTTATAAGAAGGGTATACTTTTCGTCTAATTTGTGGCTTTCAAATTGTTGATTGTAAATATGATTCATTATACCTTTTTCTTTATTCAAGGCAGTAAATTAGTTAACGAATTTTTGGTTCCGTTGCACAATTATTAACTTCATGAGGAGAAAACGAAAACAACATATAGTAACACAATATATCTATATTGAGGTTAGTTAATTATTTAAACAGAGATCACCATTTGATAAAGATAATATTTTACGAGACTCCGAAGACTGAAAACACATCTATGACTATACTTTTATGCGTCTCGGATCCATGCTCATGAAAAAACCATCATATACCCCTTCCCCCGTCCCATAAAAATAGTCCAGTTTAAAAATGTATAACTTTTTTAATTTCTTCAATACACCAAATGTACAACTCATTTTATACCCCTAACTTTCACTAATGCCCCTTCTAGTTATTTCTATAAAAGTTAACTGCATATGCATTTATTTTACAACTTAAATTTGATCAAAATTTTTATCTCAAAAAATATTGACAATGGATCTTAATGGAAAGATCTCGTTACGTAGATTAATTTGATATATAACACATTTTTTAATTATTCATGTATTAAAAGATATATTTATTTAAAAAAGTGGGAGAAAACTAAAAAACATGAAAATCAAAGGAAGTGGACCTTGTTTTCCTTACCACTACTTTTTTGGATATTTAAGGACATGTTTGGAAGGTTTTTTAAGTGTGTTTTTTTGTATTGGAAATGTAAAAAAGTGTATTGGAAATGTAAAAAGGTGCATTGAGAATGTAAAAACGTATGCTGAGATGGGATAGATATTAATTAAAAACTAGATGTTTGGCCCAGGCAGATGTCCGGGCGCCCCTTCTAAATTATTATTTTATTAAAATCTAATTGAATTACTCTTTTGAGAAATTAATTTGGCGTATATATCATTTATGCTATGGTTTGGGGCTTAAAAAAATATACCTATAAATTTGAGGTTATAAGGGAATAATAAATAATTAGTTTATAAGGCATTATTCTTAATTGCTGGATTTAGATATTTTTATTTTTTGTTTATAATAAGCCTGCAAAACTATACGATTGGACATTTGAATTTGAATTAATATATCCATTCGTTTAAAATGTAACTGATCCTTATTTGTAGTAAAACATGTGTTTTTTTTTTAAAAAAAATTATATAGCTTCTAATTAAAAGAGACTTACACGTGACAAAAAGACTCCTGAAATCTGAAATATGGTGCATTGGAGCCAAAACAGATGCATACGTAGTTGCCACATAAGCTTCATGTCTTCTGCTTTAATAGGGTAAAAGAGATACGATTGGACATTTGAATTTGAATTAATATATCCATTTGTTTGAAATGTAACTGATCCTTATTTGTAGTAAAACATGTATTTTTTTTAAAAAAAAATTATATAGCTTCTAATTAAAAGAGACTTACACGTGACAAAAAGACTCCTGAAATCTGAAATAGGTGCATTGGAGCCAAAACAGATGCATACGTAGTTGCCACATAAGCTTCTATGTCTTCTGCTTTAATAGGGTAAAAGGGATTCTAAAAAAAATGAGTGAAAAAAGGAACCAAACATAGTCATTTCAGTTCAATTAATTTTGATTTTTGTGAAACTGGACTATTTCTTTGGAGACAAACTTTTTTATTAAATTGTATTATTTTTGTGGGATGGAAAGAGTACATCTTATGTGGATTCTCTCCAATAATAAAAAAATTATAAATACTAAAATAGGCCGCTAATCATTTTTAATAGTTATGAAATAATAAAGTTCACAATAAAAGTAAATTAAAGCTTACAAGCGGTCCTAAAAGAGTCGCAATTTAAAAATTAAGATTAGAGTTGAATGTTGTGGTAAATAAAAATAATTGCAGAGAAAAAATCAAACAAATTTCTTTACCTCTCTAAAATCTAATTCCTAAATGCTGAATCAAATCACAAGGAGCACTAGCACCAGCAGTCCTCAAAACGGCATAGTTTCATTAGCATAGTACACTATTTTTTTTCAATTTTTAAGATAATTATTACTGGTAGAAATTTACGCAACCGCCTCTACGATCCACGGGATTATTATTATATACACTATCATCAATTCTGTAGGGTTTTCTTTCCGGCGAGAATAATTCAAAGAGGGAAAAATGTTACGCCACACCGCGAATCGGCTTCGGGGGACGTTTTCTTCTTCCTCGTCCTCCTCCTCCGCCGCCGTGTTGTCGTTGCCACATCTGCGCAGGAGGCTGTATCACGAGAGAGTTGTGGACCATTACGATAACCCCAGGAATGTCGGAGCTTTTGACAAGAATGATCCTACTGTCGGCACCGGCCTCGTAGGTGCTCCTGCTTGCGGCGATGTTATGAAGCTCCAAATTAGGGTTGATGACAAGACCGGCAAGATTGTCGATGCTTGCTTCAAGACTTTTGGCTGCGGCTCCGCTATTGCTTCTTCCTCCGTCGGTTCGTTTCAGATTTCTTTTTTTCTTTATGATTATTATTATTATTATTTTTTGTCTTCTGGTTATAGGTGATTCTTTTTGTGAGCTTGTCTTGTTGAAAGTAATTATGGTAGCTATCCTGCTGTCTTGATTTTTTTTTTAATCGATTTTAGGCTCTATGGTTATACGGAGTGCTTTTCTGTTCCAGAGGCATGGTTGATTTAGATTATTTTTAGTCATTTTACTGGACCAATCACAATCCGTGTAGTTTTCTTACAAGTTCTGTGTAATATGGGTTTGCTACTTGAGGACTGAAAATCTTGGAGAAGTTTCCCTTTGTGGACTTGGACTCTCCACCCTTTCTAGTTTTGATGATTACGGGTGATTGTGGTTGGATCAATGGAGATTTTTGCCTGTTCTCCATTTCAAGAAATGTTGAAAGGTTGAAAATTTTCTCACTGATGCATTTATGTCAAGGCTGTGAAATTGGATTAATCATTTTTAAAGCATGCAGTTGGCTTTTAATCTTCTTTTTACTCTGTGGGGCACTGGTGCATATAAAATGCTTTCTTGTATCCTGTTTTTCTGTGAACACTGCAACTTCGTTCTGTGTTTTATGACGCGCTATTGATTATTGTTCTTGTTTCTCGGTCACTTTGTGAAAGTTTCCCAATGACGCGCTATTGATTATTGTTCTTGTTTCTCGGTCACTTTGTGAAAGTTTCCCAAATTTTATTGATACGTTTCAGTGTTGTTTGTGTTGTTGCTCTATAAGAAATTCTCTGTCTTATTCATGCTTCTTTCAGCGACTGAATGGGTGAAAGGGAAGCAAATGGAGGAAGTCCTTACCATCAAGAATACGTAAGTGCTTTATCTCTTGCGAACTCTTTGTATGATATATTGATTGTTGAACCCTACCTCTTACCATGTTGGGTATTTGTTGTATGATATATTGATTTCTGAGCCTTGTGCTTTCTGATTGGCAAAAGTTTTGATAGTTCGCTTGATCATATTAATGCAAATTTTATACCCTAAAAGCATTGGGTTCATGAGTTGCTTCCACTTGCATTTTCTGTGTTTGACATAATAAAGACCATAGTGTGCAGCTTCAAAAAGTGTTTTTCTTGTTGGAATAAATCAAAATAACATTTGTGTTCCATTGAATTTTTGTGATAGAAGACTGCATTTCTTCAAGCATGTATTTTTTTTGGGGAGTTGAAAAACAATTATTAGAGTCCGGCACACCAGTCTGATATCTTATCAAATATATATGAAGTATGGTTCTCATGATGTAGTCACTACTTTTTGTTTTACTCTTCATCTGATGCTTGATGGGAAGTAGGTTTTGGTGTTTTACTAGGAGGCAATTTTGTGTGAGAAGGCTTAAAAACGATGCGAACTCTTTTCTGGCTGACTTGAAACATACTGATTATCTTTTAACCCACTCTGTATGATTCCTCAGTTGCACAAAATTGATCTAATTGCAAAGTTTGATTTTACAGAGAAATTGCAAAGCATCTCTCCCTTCCTCCAGTTAAATTGCATTGCAGTATGCTCGCTGAGGATGCGATCAAAGCTGCTGTAAAGGATTACGAATCAAAGCGTGCAAAGAGGGATGAAGCTCCGAAGGGATAAGCTGCTGCTAATGGTTGAAAATTTCCCTGGGAACTGATAACACCGCTTGTGCTTCTGGCATAAGCATGTATTGCATATAACTACCGCTGAAGTGTTTTTGTCTTTGATTTGCCAAATATTCGCTTGGTTATGTTCGGCAAGTTCTTATGTAAAAATTAGCACTCATAAGAGTCACTTTCACTCAGCTTGTTTTGTATGTCATGGCATATTTCTGTGTCTTGTCTTTCCAGAAAAGGAAATAAAAATGTTTTGGAGTATTGTATTCTCATTCTCGAGTTGAGCCGATGGTCTTTTTGCCGATTAATAAGCCGAACTCCACCCATCTATGGATCTCTTTTTTTCTTTTCAATTTTTGAACGGATTCTCTGCATTTCCAATTAAACTCCAAAAGGCAAGTAACTGAAATGAAAAATTAATGCCCTGTTCAAGACCAGTCAAGACTCTTTCTAAAACTTCACATAGTCAATTTTCTGTGGAATAGGGATACCGGAGAGTACCACTGTAATTCAACAACGTTCAAATTGCATGCCTTGATTCCGGAGCAATTCTTTCTTGAATCCAGGGTGAAAGATATCGTTACAAATTTAAAATGTCACAATGATATGAAACCTTATCGCCTTACACAATGTTGAAGTGCAAAATGCTATCTATAGAATTTTCCTACTTTCTGAACTTTTTTTCCCCCTACTTTCTGAACTTATGATAGACTAAAACAATAGATAATTATCAAAGAAATAATAGAACAGGAATAACTAAGGTGTTGGTTAACCTGCAGGTTCAAATCGGCAGACACAATCATAAATGTTACCATTGATCAATTTTTCAGCCAACCGTTGATTCTTGACCATAGCGAGCTGAAAATTTAAAGTAACAAGTCATGCATAGAGAATAAATTAAGCTTATGAATCAAGCATCTTACGGATAAAGAAACCTCAAAAGCTACTACGTGAACATTATCGGTGTCAGTATTTCATATCATGTCCAATCAAGAAGAATTCTATCGCGTGGGTTGAACCTAGTAAGCTTCAGGCAAATCATCCGAGCACGATTATCCAGAAATCTATCAGCTTTCTCATTGATTGTAGCAAATGCAGTGAATGCAGACTATGCTTTATTATGACTGGCAAGGACGAAAAAGGAAAAACCTACCTTCAAAGCATCACAACTGAAACGTGCATTGAAGTTTGTATGTAGAGCTCGGCCCATTCCTTCCAAGATTACCTGCACAAAGCAATTTGAAAAACATGACCAAGGCACACAAATTTACCCTTTCTCTCTCTGAGGTTATTCTTTATGTGAATCACAGCAATGCCGGTCAATGACATTACAAACAGAATAGGGCCACAAAGTACGAGTCTTAATGGGAATGATTGAAGCTAATGTTAAAAAATATTATCTAAATACTTGGCCTAAAGTCTTCTTATGTTTTAGCTTCCACTCATTGCATTTCGAGATGAACCCAAGAATCCCCTCTCCTTGAACAGAATACTATTGAAAAGATAATATGCAACTTCAAAAGAGTAATGATATGCTCAGTAAAATGATCGTGTGGAATGGTTCGAGAAAAGACAATGATGTGAAGTTGCAATCATCACTAAATGTCTTCTATCTTTTACTGAATGTGATGGGTGATTAATATTTCAAGTCTGTACCATATCCGTAACATTCACTTGGATAGTTTTCACGGAGAATGTCATCACTCCATTGAAATATCACAGCCAGAATGGAAAACTCTGGCATTGTTGTGAATAATTATATTGATTTATTCAAATTCCTTTAACAAGGAGAAGGAAGAAGGTAAACAACATACCAGATCAGCATCTTTGGCAGCAGCTGCTAGCTCTGAGCTAACTTGTCTCAAGTCTATGCACGGACTCCCATATCCATTCTCAACCACCATTAAAGCGACAGAAGAGGAATTATCTTTAGGACTATCTTGGTTGCTAATCATAGCATCCACCAGCAGGCCACCTGCTTCAGCAGCCCTTCGGAGTATGTCACAGTGCTGTTGAATTTAAAGTGTAATGTGTAAGGCGAAAAGATATAGCAGCAGTAAACATTATTAGTTATATTGGGCCTATTCCCATAGTTCATGTTGGTTGAAAATGTTCAGTAGTCAGGTTCGAAGCAAAAATGTTGAGTAGTTATGTTAGAAGCAAAAATTAAGAACCAAAGTTGGTAATCTTAAATTACAGGTGATTCATAGGAAGAGCTTAAGACAAAGATATCATGCTATGTATGGTTGAATGATGTCATTTTCTAGAAGAAGATTGGGACATAGAGCTTTTTCTTCCAGTAAGTTATTGAAAGTAAAGTATGAAATAGAAAAGCTCAGACTCGGCGAAAAGAAAAAAGTAAGGGTTTCACAAGAAAACAGAAAAAGAAAAAGACTGAACAGGGCATCATTAATAGCTTTCTCAGCTGTCACAAAAGTGAAAATTAACATATGGGACTGTAAAATATCCACCAGAGGAGAAGAAACTTGTTGGGCCGTTCAGGGGAAGTATGATTTGGGATTCTAAAGAAGAGAATGAAGAATAGACTTTTGATGAAAGATAATGAAGGAAGCCTAACTATGTGATACAAAACTATACAAGGCTGGACTTTCAAACTACTTTTGATGAAAGATAATTTTTTCCACAAGTTTCAAAAACACTCAAAAGTGTTTCCCGACAAAGGTCACAGATCCAATAGCAGTTTATTGGATCAAACAGACCACAACCACATGGAACTCTAATGAGACAGATCACTAAAGGGCAACTCATTTTGATCTCCACATCAATGTCAAGACAGTTGACCTACAGAAAACCCTTCAACATAAACAGTCATCTCTAATTTTGGGCAATGAGGTTAGGATGAAAGAGAGTTAACTCCAGGCAAAGAACAGCTGTTCATCGTTATAGTTGCTAACATGTTCTAAGCAAGAAAGTCATCAAACGTAAAGTAGAAAATCAACATTGCAGTGCTACAGAAAGCGAAGAATAGTGCGACAGAAACGAGAAGAAATGAGGCACATCATCTCCATGGAATGTTAGACGAGAAAAAAAAAAGGACTACAATGAAATTTCTTAATATTTGATTGCAAGAAAACAAAGGAGCTTTTAAATTATCTACTATTCATGATCATAGGATAACACACCTTGGCAGCCTCTGCAACGATGTCTGGTAACTCCATAGCAGTAATATCATTCAATGCCGGAAGAGAGTTTGCAACGAGAACTACCTGCAAAAAACAATTCCAGTGCACTAAATCTCAACCACATGAACATTGGAATTTTTATTACTTAAAAAAAGAAGCAACTGGCACAAGCAATCATGAACTGCAATTTAGACTTTCAGTGTTCCATATCAAATTAGGAAAAGAGTCTTTTGAGTATTATTAAGTCATCTGTCAATGAAATAAAATGGATGGATGTGAACGGGATACTAATCATAGTCTATATTTCTTTCAAGAAGGCGACTTTTTTTTGGCCTATTCATTGATAAACAACAAATGTGCAAGGATGAAAAATAAAACAACAACAACACCAAGAACAACAACAACAACAACAACAATAATAATAATAATAATAATAATTAAAAAATATCGCCAAGGATATGATGATTGTTCTTTTGTCTATTCATAAGGGTCTAAACTTACTTCTGTTCCGCGTCGTAGAAGCTCTCTTGCTAGAGGAAGCATTCCTAAAACAACATCAGCTCCAGAGTTATCTACAAACAGCAATGCTCTTTTGTGTTTGCAAGGCTCCTTGTCCTGAGAGCCAAGCATTCTCTCCTTAAATGCATCAAAATCATCAACCTGTGTTAAAATTAAACAAATTTGTAATATCAAATCTCTCACTAGAAATGTTAACTTATCACAATCGTCATATGACCTCAGAATCTCAATAAAATCATAGACGTCTATTAATACTAACCCGCCAAGGTCTTTGCATCTTCTTGCGGCTCATTCTATATATTTCAATGATTGTCCCCTTGTGATATAAATCAACACATGCCCGCGAGCCCCAATCAAAGATGTTAGCAGCAAGGACACCTTCAACAAGAGTCAACAATCTTGTTTCCTAGGAGGAAAAAGATCTGTGTCAACAGGAGTAGGAAAGCGTTGATATTACAAGTTCACAGTAACATTTTATCTGTTGAGTTGAGGCTTCTCAAGAGGAAACTTGTCTACTGGATTCCAATACTCCTTGTTTCTGAGCTATCCTTTCAAAACCTTTAATTCAAGCAAAAGCATATATGCTCATTCTTGTGAACTGAATGAAAGTAGGATACTCTATATTTAGGGGTCAAAAAGTTGTATAAAACGTTCTTGATGGGAAAAATGTGAATGATCCCACTGAATTCAACTGGGTCCACCAATATAAGAAATATGATGTATCCATGACACCTAAGATTGCTTGAGAGAGCAACTAAAGAAAAAGATCTAGGACGGGCTCCAAATGTTGATGGAAACAGATAGTTCAGGCATTGCATTCAGTTTGCCTTTATTGAGAGATAAATGATTAGGCATTTAACTTCGTATAATGTCACTGGTATCGAGATAAAATTTATATCTGGATGCATATCCCCTCATATTTCTCGAACACTGACTACACAACATAGCAAAGCTGATGAAGTAAGATTTCAGAAATATGGGTAGCTTCATATTAGGTTTAAGGAAAATAGCTAGAATCTTCTTAGAATTAAGTTTCCTTTTAGTTTAATTTCCTGTTTGCAAATTACCTTAATTATGAATTAGTTTTAGGCAATTTTAGTAGCTTTAGGAATAAGCCAGGCCTCTCTACAAATAGGGTGGTTCTGCAGTAGTTGTGATGGACGTTTTTGATATTAATATAATTTGAAGCTTTTGAAGCTTCCAAAGACTTTGTCTTTCTGAAATCCCTACAGCTAGCGTTTGCCTTTCCGTCTGTTTTCAATTACCCCCCGTTCCCCATCAATTTGGTATCACGAGCCCCAGGTTTTGATGGCACGCAAAGGCTGTGTTGCTGTCCCTAGGAGAGTTCAGAATCAGGAATATGTGGTTGGGATTGTAGAATTGCGATGAGAACTTGCGCAACTCAGGTTGCTGGTGCAGAACCAACAGCGTGACAACCGTTCGGCAGCATGAGGATTGATACCCAAAGGTATCGAAGATCCTGATCCACCGGAAGGTGTTGATGAGGTGTTTAAACATAAGGTAGAAGAGATCAGTCCGTTCTATGGTCCCGGAGATCAACACGGTCAACTTGAAGAACGATTAGATTGGAGTAATTATTCTTTCAGACTTACCGGAAGGTAATATGAAGGATGGGATTTTCTCATATGGTTTAGATTATGATCCATGGGAGAAGCATGATCTTGATTGGAACAATCCACCAATCTATGATGAGTACCCGGAAGACTGGGATGAGTGTTCAGATGTCTCTGAGGAGGATGTTATTGAGTTTGGTGAGCCTTGTCTTTTAAGTGATTTAGAAAACAAGGAGGAAAAGGTGTGTTACAAGCAGATTGGTGTTGACAGATTTGATTTGGGTTGCCAGAATCTTGTTGAGAGTGCAACAGCTTTTGGTTATGTCCAGGAAAAGTTGAGTTGTACCCAACAAGTTCAGGTCTTAGAGCTCGAAAAGTTTAGCGCAGTGCTTGTGGATGTCTTTAAGAGCCTGTTTGTCAATAATATGGTACTTTTAATGAAGAACCATAGTTTCCACAACAGAAGGAGGTTGTTTTGGACTACAATGATTAAGTCTTTAACCCTCGGGAAGAATCAAGGAAAGAGGTTACTGAAAGAGTCTGCAGGATATCCTTTTGATCGAGGAAAGCCGAGGAAAATTGTTTTGGAAACACAAAAATCAGATGAAAATCAAGTTCTACACAACATCAATTTTCATCAAATAGCTTTGTCCAGTAAAGTGCTTGTCTGTGATTGCTATCAAACCAATGAGTCTGTTTTTACACTAAAACCTGCATCTCTATTCAAGGTGAAGATACTTTATTGGTTCAAGAGGTTTCCAAGACATAAAGTTCTTTATGCTTGGAGGAGGAGAAGAAAGAAGGCATTGCAGTACTTAACTGGAATTCCTTTTGATAGAGGAAAACCCAAAGCAAAACTCGAGGACGAGTTTTCTTTCAGGCAGGGGAGAGTTGATGCAGGAAGATTTCAGAAATATGGGTAGCTTCATATTATGTTTAAGGAAAATAGCTAGAATCTTCTTAGAATTAAGTTTCCTTTTAGTTTAATTTCCTGTTTGCTAATTACCTTAATTATGAATTAGTTTTAGGCAATTTTAGTAGCTTTAGGAATAAGCCAGGCTTCTTTATAAATAGGGTGGTTCTGCAGTAGTTGTGATGGACGTTTTTGATATTAATATAATTTTAAGCTTTTGAAGCTTCCAAATACTTTGTCTTTCTGAAATCCCTACAGCTAGGGTTTGCCTTTCCGTCTGTTTTCAATTACCCCCCGTTCCCAGCTGAAAAATGACATTCAAGGGACTTAAATATTCAGAATTTTGGACCCTAAAACTTGAGTGACTAATTAAAATTAAGGTCTATCATTTCGAGATCTCAAAAAGCAGTTGTTTGCATTCTCTTTTCATGTTAGGAACCAAGGATTATAAACTCGAGCTCCTAACCTGAGAGATACAAACAAATTCATAATGATTCCCGAGGATGCTTAATCTGATGAGTGCCCTAGCTATTGTCCCTTGACATGATGGACAAAATTGAGTTAAACAATTACCTCATTCATGTTATCAATTTCTCTAAGCAGATCAGGTAAAACAGCAAGTGATGCTTCATTCTCCCTACAAGTAAAAAATAGAGTTACACAGATAAAAAAAGGCATAAATGTCAGCAGATAACAGGATTATTAATGATGCCCAGTGAAATCAACTTGAACGAGCAAAATGTGTAATTAAGTTGCAAAGTAAGAACTTTGTAACTAGAGTTAACGTGAACCTCTGTTTTATGCTCCTGTAAGCATCAAAAAAATGAAATTCCCTCAAGCACTCTTCTCTTAATTCCAAAAGGTTGGCAAGCCCCAACTTCCCATATGCAGCAGGCTCCTCCATCAACCTGATAAGGATTTTAGAGAGAAAAAAAAAAAAAAAACACTCAACAGAGATATTCCAGATTTTCAAAAGATGAACTCTCTCAGGATTGGTGCATGGCTAGGAAAATAGTGCTACGGAATATTTATGCAGGAGACAACCTTGGTAACCATGGTCTCCTGAATTCTGTAGTGTTGTAAGATTAAGACAAATTGATATATCCCAACCATACTGTTGATATTCAGTTTGGACTTTGGAGTGAACCTTAAAATATGCTAGGAGTTACAAAGTGGAGAGTTTCTAATTAAAATTAACTGCACAAAATCCTCGCCGTTAAGCAGCGAATATCCCAAATCACTCGAGATACATGGCCATGATACCTTGCTAGATGAGCCGAAAATGCTCGGGCAAATGCATCACCCCTTCTTTTAGCATCATCTGTACCTCCTTCACTTGCAACAGCCTACATACAAAATTTATGTCATTGCTACAGGGAGATTTTCGTGCAAAGACCTATTTTTTTCATTAGTAAAATAATAAATAAAACATAAAGAGGTAAAAGAAAGAAAAAAGAAAAGCAAGCACATGTGATGGAGAAGATAAAGTTTATTCTGCTGTTTCTTTCCCCTAAAATATCACTTTGTTTAATAGAAAAGGAAGAGTAAGACAAAGATAAATGGCCAATGGTACTAGCAGGAAAGAGTAATTGTGTATAATTATAACACACAGAAAGAAGCTAAAAATCAGACATTGAGCTAGGAGAAGCGTTGTATTTCTTATATCCCATTTTTCCAAGCACAAAAGCATCAGGAAATTATGTGTAATTTGCTTGCATACTTTTCCCAATGACTATGGATCCAGCAAAGTAGGCAAGATCAAACTACAGGCATAGAGAAACAAACATATGTTGTTTTTATGTCAAAATCTCTATCAAAACTACTCCCCCAGTAACAGCATCCAATTCTCTCTTGGAGGTACTAAAATTTAGGTTTCCCTGTCTTATGTGCACTTCATGCAAATCGAACTACTAATGAAGGGAGAACGCACACAAATGTAAATTTCTGATGTATTAACCAGCCAGAATATTCTATTTTTAATCAAATCACACTCAACTTAAAAATCTACAAGGTCAGGCAAAATCTACAAGAGAAGTGTCCATGAACAATTGGACCTCAAGGCAATGAAAGGGAGAGGAGAAAGAAACATTATTCACCTTGTCAACCAGGTCAGGCAAATGATCCGATAGAACAGTATACCAGTACCTACAAAAATATAACAAAGATATAACAAGAACTGGAAAGCCATGCAGAGAATCATATAGCAATTAAATTACACGTAAGCTGTCAACTTACTCCAATTCACCTGGGTCTGACAAATCTATGGTATTTGGCTCATACCTGTAAATAAAGTGTGATAATATCAGCAATGTGATGGGCTTATTGGAGAAACTATTGTCACAAGTAGGTCATACATATCCATCAGAAGTTAAACAAGGAAAAATAAGTTTTCAAAACAAAAGAAGATTCTGATCAGCAGAGGGTGAGACAAATACATGAAAAAGTTATTTAACACTTTCCTACAAATCCTGGTAAGGAAACAAAGTGAGGACTATATAATATTACAGTCAAGTATTAACAGACAGAAGAAAAAAATCCAAAAAACATTCCAGCTCACATAAATCATCAAATAACAGACAAAAAATCACAGGAATTAACCGCCATAAAAGCTAGTATGACAACAACAATCTACATAACAACCTGGAGATCCTTAATTTATTAGACAAGTGAAACCTTTACAGCTGAGAGAAATCCTTCAGAATTTGAAAAATGTAACTGAAACAATCAGGAGCCACTTTTTTTAAAATTTTTTTTTTATTGAAGTAGAAAGGTAAAATTATGACAGACATACTTACATTTTTGGATCTGCCAGAAGCGGAAAAACCTCAAGAGTTGGCACAAGATGAAGAACCCCAACATTTAATTTGCTCGCATCTGGTCGCAGGATATCCCCTTTTGATGATGGGACTTCAAAGCCTCCAAGTCCCGTCGTACCAGGTGGGGCCATTGGAACTGGAGCAGTAATTTCAGTTCCTTTCAGAATAAACTTTTCCATCCAAGAGATCTGCAACAAAACACCATTTCATGAAATATATCCAAATGAAACTTAATCTTAGAGAGTTAATACTGAACGAACTTCAAGCACCTGTCATTTTTTTTTTATCAGCCAAATAAATAAAAAGGTAGAACATGCAGAATTAAGCGAGTTATTAACAACGTCGGAGGTAATGATTATGAAACTGATTAACAATCCCAGAGAAGACGACTTCATACTACAACTCAGATATTGAGGAAAGGACAGTCATGCTGTTTTTCGTGCAAATAATACCGATCTACAACTTAGGCATACAATTCAATCATGTATGCAAGAAATAAGATCTAATTTGTGGTTGAAAATAGAAAAAGAACAATAACAGACACATACTCGAAAAGAATACAAAATCTAAGAGATTTAACTGGTTGTAATGAGTAAAAGAAGGAAAAAATACAAGTGCAAATTTATTGTTCTAAAGAGACTAAAACTTAGCTGATCTATGAGTAAAGAAAGTAGTTCAGAATCAGTTATTTAGAATATTTACATGCCTTTTCATTCAAATCCCCCAATGGTGGCCCATGAACATTCCCCCCGATGTATGGAGCTCCCATTGGAAACCTCTCCACAAGCTGATGGACCATAAGATCATCTAACCCATGCTTTTCATAGCTCATAAAAGCACCCAAGGCTCCAAGAAATCCCTCATGTCGTAGAAACATGGCTTGTGCCTCTCCGTTTGACCTATTCCGATGAGGGAAGAAGATAAAGGACCCGGATGGGGGGAGCCAACGCTGGAACTACAAACTTCAATTCCATTTTCTTCAACACCTTAAGTAATAATTAATTTACTTACCAGAATTGCACAGCAAATGAGATTGTGTCCATGGTATAAGCATGGCCCCTTATGAAAAATCCGCCAAAAAATATCCTTTTAAGTCCAAAGCGCAGCGCATTTAAATAGGAAATCTACAAAAGGATATTTAAGTCAGATAATAAGCTAAACTAAAAACACTTTGCGTGATTACATCTAATTTAGCAATGCAAAACTACTTCTCAGAAACGCAATAAACAAAGGCCACACTAATTTTTTCCCCTGATTCCATAGCATCAATGGTTCATGGAACCACACTGTCTCAACTGCTGCTTCTCCAGTAGTTTATTTCTCTCTGTGGAACTAAACCTGATAACTCCAGTATCTAATGTCTGTAGGATTTACATCTATGCTTTCCATGGGAAACAGCATCATATGAAATGGTTACTTCTGAGACTGGTTTGTTATCATCTATCATAAGCATTTCGGTACATAAACAAACTATACCCTTTATAGTGTACTTTCGCTTTTTGGTACCATCAATATACTTAGATTTCAAAAGACATCTACTCAGAAAAAAAAAATAAATTTGAAATCTCCATACCAGAACAATAACTTTCAATCCAAATAGCATAAAGATTTCAGTCATATGTTGTTAGAAATCAAAGCGAATATAACTAGACACAAAGTAGACTTGGCTGAGGCTCCATTTGAAATTCATAATTGAGAATTTAGTTAATGTATGACGATTTCCTTCTATTTCCATAGCCAATTGTGCACTAGAGCATGCCCGTTCCAGTTTCTGCTACACAACATAAGAGTTTCAGAAATCTGCATATTCCCCTAACTTCAGAATATTAATTTGTACTCCAGTATATTTTAGCCTTAGAAACCAACACAAGTTATTGGAACAGACCTGACCAATGTTGTATGAAATCATTCGCAAGAGGGATAAAGATATGTCTTCAGGTCTGTAGTCTTCAATATCCTTATTTTCAGATATTGCCTTGCCGAAACTAGAAGCAATGGTGGATGCTGAGAGACCAATCTTCATGTGCAAAAGAATGAAACCAGAAAGTAAGAAATGTCAACAAATGCCAGTTATTGGTACAGTTACACATTATTCTAATAACAGTTTATAGCTACAGCCTAAAATAAAATGTGATGGGTAATAAAAAAAATTTGAAACAAAATGTACCTTTGAGTAGTCCATTCCACCATAAATATCCCCAACAAGCATATCGATGGTTCTATTATCCCCACGTTGACTCAGTTCTAGCAATTCATCAAAGCTGGACACCAAATACCAAGATAATTACCATCCCAGATAATTAAAAAATTGGAATAGTCACCCCGGAAAAAAAAAAGAACAAAAGAGGGAGAAAAAAAAACAGGAAAAGTCACCAAGCTTTTTGGAGATAATAATCACCTCTTGCACTTGGTTAACAGTCTTCCCAACCCCCAGTATGTACCACCTCCAACATTTGTTCCACTAACCCGCTGAAACTGACCATCCCCATCAACCTATAACAAAAAGCTTTGTAAGTTCACTTGTCCAATCCTCTCAATCAAGATCATTAGTCAGGCATATGGTGACTGTATTCAGAACATAGACTCATAGATTTTCACTTCATCAAGAAGCCAATTGATTAACCATGTCCAAAAGTGTGATTAACTGACAATCACCAAATTGCCAGCATCCACACTTCTCTAAAAATTTTGTTTTTCCTTTCTCTTCTCTTATCCTAGCTTAAAACCAATAATTTTGGCATTTTGCAAATTGAATTCACTACTTTTTTTAAGAAAAGAAGAAAATAATTTCAAAAAATAATTATTTTGTTCTACTTATTCAGGAAATTGGCATGAAGGTTTTGTATGCACCTTGGCAATTTATGTCATTACAGGTTACAGATGATACAAATTAACGTACAACAATAACAACAATGATCGAGTCTTCATGGCACTACGTGGAGTGGGCACGGGACACTATCTCCTTCATGTTCCATCAAAACACGTTCTCACTTAGGTTAAACAAATGATGTCTCTTTCAACATTTTCTTTCCAGTTCATAGTAGGTTTTCCCCTTAACCTTTTTAATAGGTTTTCCCCTTACCAAAGGCATCTAATGGCTTCACATCTAAATGTTGAAACCACATCAACTCAACATTCTCATTTACACTATCCTCACTTATTGTTTGTTTTCAGTTGTATTCCCACGACAATGGACACATCTCTCGGCTATTTTACAGAATTTTTTCCTTTTATGGTATTCTTTATGGTCAGACTAATAGAGTCACTCATTTATTATCCATTTCTGCAGGAATGACTGAATTTCTATCTGAAACATCTTCACACATCCCAATCCAATTTTCTTCACGAATGGATCTAGAATACAAAAAATAACCAAAAAAAAAACAATAATATGAATAATTGTATGCTTGACTACTTTCGACAAAGTAAACCAGTCAAACTTCAGACACGAAGGTTCAGACATCCAAACCATGATTGTTTTAAGAGGTTCATGTTTCGTATATGTCGTATATCTCTTTGATCAAGCTCAACCAAAGCCCAGGAAGTGGCATAAAATAATTATATTTACCTTGATCATGCTGACACCAGATCCAATGTTGACGAGAAGATATGGAAACAGATCATTTTGGTCTATCTGCACAAATGCTTTATGGCCTTCCATATGCGTAAATGCTTCATGACGAATTGCCTGTCAAATTCCGTCACATCACAAGAAATAATTAATTGTTGGAGAAAACAAATCATTTAGTGTTTTCTTCTGTACACCCATTTGTCAAAAGTTGAGAGCTAACATCCACAGGACAAAGAGGAAAAGTAAGGACTGCAGTCTGCAGTGGTCTATTTGCAAACATAAGTTCATAGAATACAAGCATGGGTACAATTAGTGCACTTGCTCAATTCAGTATATCTGACAAATCTAATAAGTTCATGGGCTTCTGATTGCACCTTAAGCAAGAAATTTGCACCAGAAACCAGGCAGCTCATTTCATCTTCTTTCTCTATACTAACTCCTAGCCTTTCCTTGAACAGATCGGCATACTTGTATGCACCGCCACCTGTAGCCTTCTCGGAATCCCAGTAGTTAGCATATTTTATAACCGAGAATACATAATAAATTAATACGGTATCTATCCATTTTGAAACCCAGACAAAGCCTTAAACAGGAGTTTACCTTAATCACAGCATTCTCATTTGATACTTCAGCATCCCAGTGATGATTCATAAACATCAGAGGCACGCAAAATCAGCATACATAGAAAGTTAGGAAAACAACATTCTGACAAGATGAATAATGAATTTTCAAAGAGCCTTAACCCAACAACAGCAATAAAATAACTAACAATAAAGAAAAATGAGAAACATATACCACCACAATGGAGTTGTTTGGATGAAATGAAATCCAAGCATTGATTGATCTTGTGTGTCTCGAACTTCACAAAATGTAGTCTTCCTCCGAGAATTGGGTAGCTCCTTCTATTATTATTAGAAATACCCAGCCTCTCTTTGATTGTCTTCTTCCTCCTATCATTAACTGGACGATCCTCATGTCTTGAAAAATAAACTAACTTGATGAGAGATCCTGGAGAAGATCAGAGAGAAACAAAGAGCTTTAAGGCCAAAGAAATTGAAAACCCCCATCTGGCTCAAGATTTTGTTAGACAGTGAAGTAGCATGTAGTTGCTGTGGATATGAAGAATGCCCTAGTCTTCTATCAATGAAAACTCCCCAGGCCTAGTTGATGAATCCTCTCTCCATCTTCCATGACAAAAACTACGAAGTCATCAATCAATCAAAATTGAAAATGCAATCCCAAAATACAAAAAAGCACCCCCTTCCCCAAACAAGATAAAAAGGACCATTATATCAGAATGACAAGTGGAACTGGAAAATAAATATCATATCCCAAAGAACAGGACGAGTTAACAAATTGAACACAACCCACCAAACTAATAAGAAGTATGATAAAATCCAGCACCACAAAATACGAAAAAGAAAAAAAAAAAAGAAAAGGAGAAAAACCTCCAATATCCAGAGCCAGATGAGATATATCGTCAGACTGATTAGGTAAAAGAATGGTGGGATCCTTCTCCTCGAAATTTCCCTGAATAGCAGCTCCACTGAGGTCCAACTGCGGTCTAGAAGATGATCGATGAATTGAATTTCCCCCAACGGGAGCCATATCCTTTTCTTCTTCTCTCTGTACCGAACCCGTTTCAAACTTGTTTTTGTTATCCTCTTCTTCATTAATATTTTCAATCCAGCCGTCAATTTCAAGGCTTGGTTGGGCATTATTTGTCAGAAGATTGGCCATACCCTCTTTTTTACTCAGCAGCCCCTCTCCAACTTCTAACCAACTGCCCGCCAAACCAATTTTTTTCTCCCTTCGGTCAAATGGTCCAATACTACTTTCTTTGTGGTGGTAGGGTCACTTTCTTCTTCTTCTTCTGCTTCTTCTTCTTCTTTTGTGCTACGAACCCCATATTAATTCAGACAAAAACATTGGTATACTAAATAAATACACACAGTAAAAGGTTGTTGTAAATCAGGACGGAACAACCGACCGAGCGACCGAGGATGTCTGAATAACAAAATACTAGTACTTTATTTGCAAATATAGTAAAAGTAGAGTAGTAACTAGTACAAAACAAATTTACTGTCGCATAAATCTCTTTTTTTCTCTTAAAATGCTATTCCAATCTGAATTAGATTTCAAAACGAACTGTTGTATTTCTTTCAACGGCAATTCTTAATTCAAATATGTACACTAATCTTATCTTATGTCAGTATATATATTATTTCTATATCCATGATCCTGTTGGTGGCTTTATTATGAGTCTCCAGTCTCCACAGACAACCTTTAGTAAAACCCGCAAAATCCTTTCTTTACTGGTTTTCTAAGAACACCCCCATTTCGCCTGCTGTTTTCCAGATATTTCCTGCGTATACAATTTCCAAGAATCGATCTTTACTCTATAAGATCTTCGGATTGCTTCTCCAATTTTTCTTAGGTGAGCTGTTGATTATGTTCTTTTGGTTCTTGTCGCTTCATTTTTGGTGCAATGCATGTCTAATTGTGGCTTCTTGATGAGCTTTTTGTTGTGGGTTTTCTGTTTCTGCGTTAGAGAGATGTTGGAGAATTTTGATTTAACCTACAAGTTTTGATTAGTGTAGTTAGGTTGATCGTCTTTCCTTTTTTCTGTTTTTCCCCCCTCCCCGAGCAGTTGAATTGATGGCTTATTAATTGTCTAGAAATCAAGTTGAGACCTTTAATGGAAACTAAAAAAGACCCAGAATCTGCACAGCCTGACGTTTTTTTGGAGCTACCAACCAATCAAAGTCGTAATCTTTATGATCAAAGTCTTGGAAAAACCTCAGAGGTCTGTGGTTTTAGTGGGACTTGTAGTGGGTCACTGTTAGTTGCTGAAGAAAATGGAGCTGGAAATAGAATGTTAAGTCCTCTTCAACACAAATTTTCCTTACAAGGACATGGGAATGAGGATGAATCTTTTGTGGATGACCCGGGAATGAAAGAAATTTTAGCAGTTGAAAGAAATGAGGAGATTAGGGATGACAAGAGTTTGGAGAAGGAGGACCGAGAGAAGACCAACGATGCCCTGGCATGGAAAGCTGATAACTTTTCTAGGAATGTTGGTGTCTCTGGTGATGGTATTTCTTTAATTGTTGAGGTTTTTGGTCCCCCAAGTGGAACTCATCCAGGTGAAGGAAACAACCCTGACAAGCAAGTGTTGGGAGAGGAGGATTCTGATGGAGAAGATACAAGTGGATCCAGTGGGACAATGTCACCTTCTGATGGGGATGAAGATATCGACAATGTTTTGAAGAGAAATGACCCAGTGGTTGAGGAGAAGACAAACAGCTTCAAATCTGATAAAGCAAAAGCGCAAAACAAAGTGGAGGGCGACAAGTTTTGCAATACAGTAAGCACATTTGCTTTGGGTGATTTGGTTTGGGCTAAAACCAAGAAGACTCAGATATGGTGGCCAGGTGTAATTTCTGATCCTGTTAGTCGGTTGCCGACCTCTAAGGAACCTGCGAGTTCCAACAGGAAAGCCTTCTTCTTTGTTAAATATTTTGGGAGTGCTAATTCTGTTTGGCACTCTGCTTCTCATATCAGGCATTTGGTTGAGGATTTTGATCGGTTATGCTGTCAGAGTAACTCTAGAAGCTTTCGTGGAGCAATAGAGAGAGCTGTCTATGAGATTAGTCAGCGTGCTAAGCTAGAAATGACTTGCTCTTGTTATTTAAGAGAAATTGAAACATCTTCTTCCCAACTTGGTAGTCAAAAATGGCCGAAGAGGTCATGGTCAGTAAACAAAATGGCTGCATCATCTGCGTCATTTGAATCCCAGTTTCATCCTGCAAGTTTTCTTGCTCTTTTGAAATACCTTGCTCAGAGTGCTAGTCCACCAGATAAGTTTCAAATTACCACCACCAAAAGTTGTCTTTGGGCAATTTATCGTTCTTTGGGTCATCCTCAATTGTCCATTCAATATCTTGTGTCAAATGCTGCCCAGAACAGTGCTCATAGTAATTCAAAAAGGGCTGAGAAGGATGATGTTATGACCGAGTTTTCTCGAGCCAACTGTTATGAGGCTATTGATGGAGAAAAACATGTAAGTACTACTGAAGCTGAACATGAGCTGTATACCCCCTTACCAGTAATTGGAGAGCATGATGGGAGGGTGGATGGAAGATCTAAAAAATGCCATGGGTCGAGGGAGAGAAAGAAGAGCCAGTACTTATCATATCCTTTTTTGGATCCGAGGAAGGGCCATGAAAAAGTTTTGGAGCAGGCTGAATCGGTCTTGGACGTGAATGGAAACTATGGCCAAAATACTGGTAAGAAATCCAAAAATTCTGTGTCCAGCAAAGCTAGCTCTTCTGATATGTGGGATAAAGCCAAGGATGTTGTAGCTTCTTCTACCGAAATACTTTCTGAACTCCATTTGGCAGCTCTTGGTTGTTCTTTTACAAGAAGCGAAAAATGTTCTGATTCAGTTAGTAACTTTTTAAGTTGTCTTAGGAGGTTTGCATTCTTAAAATATGAAGAAGCTGATGAGCATATTGGTGATCTTATGGGGGAGACTAGTGTATCTTCCAGCTGTGATACAGAAAGAAGTCCTGGAGGGGATGCAGTCAAGCGTGCGCCAAAAAGGAGACAGAAAGAAAAGAGAGATAGTACTTCAAGAGGTGCTATGCATTCTAGAAAAAGAAAGGAAACTAGAAATGGCTCAGAGGTGACTGGAAGTCCTGAAGTGGATTCTGGTTCCCCGATGAAAGAAAAAGTTTCCAGGAAGAGAAAGAAGGCAAGAATTGATTTGGGCTTGATTGAGAAGAGATCTGCAACTGGATTACCAGATCTGAACGGGTACATCCCTGCATTCTCTGTTGAAGATGATCTAGTGGCAGAATCGGTGACATCTTATCGTTTACGGGGAATAGCTCCCGAAAGTTCATGTACACAAACTCTGAACTTGCTAGATCCAGGGAGAGGCAACATGAAATTCGTCCAGTTGCTGAAAGATGTGCAGTCGATGGGTTCAAATTTCTTCAGTAACATGGCTCAACAGAATTGCATGAATAATAAAGCTGCATTTGCTACTTCTGAAGTTGATAGACATTCAGAAGCCAAGAAATGCTACACTCAATCTGCACTAATAAACAAAATGCAACCAATATGTCTTGGTACCAAATGTGAGCCCAAGACAAGAAGGAAGATGAAAGCAGCTAAGCCTGTGGATGCTACAGTGCATACATCTATCCCTGATTTGAATGGAAATGCTGTTGACTGCATCTCACCTGGAAATAAGGCGCCTGATGCAAATTCCGCTTTGCCTAAAACTAATGTGGCACGGAAAAGAAGGAGAAAGAAGTCTACTGATGTTATATTAAATGTGGAAACATATCACAATAAGTCGTCTATTACTGAAGGAGTTTCAGCCACTTCATTGGCACCTTTGGTACGACCCATATTGCCAGAGGATGGACCAAAGACTCCTGTGGTGCTTCCACCTGATCCAGCTCGAGGCATGTTTACTTCTGCAGCATCAAATGTGAATACAAGTCATAATAAGCAGTCTATTGCTGCAGGAGTTTTAGCAACTTCAATGACTCCTTTGGCACAACCCTTTTTGGCAACAAATGGACTCGAGATCCCTGCAGTGCTTCCACCTGGTCCAACTACGCATAACGGTGGTGATTTGCCTGATATCTTGTTTATGAAAACGAATCTTGAGATGATGACATCAGTGTTGGGCAAGGCTGGTAATAATCTTTCTCCTCAACTGAAAATCAAGTTAGAAGGTGAGATAAGAGGTCTCATGGAGAAGATCAGCTCCATGGATTCCTCCTCATCCTCTTAGATATGGCAGGGTTTTAGTTCCTGTTTTCCAGTTTACCAGGAACTGTTGGCGCTAATGTTCTTCAATGAATCCTAGGCCCTCGTAGTTTCCTTGGTTTTCACTTTTCTGACATTTTGTACCAATCCTGCATTCTAAGCGGCAATTTTTTTGGTATTTTGATGTAATAGTTGATAAAAGTCGTGGGATTGTTTCCTTTCCCTTTGCTCTATCAATTTGAATTGGACTTCTTTAATCATTGTGACTCTCGAACACCTAGTGACAGTCTAGATCTGTACAAGTGTGGTCTAACACATTGTCCAGTTGGACCTTTGGGAGTATAGAATTGTATCGATAGGTGGAGAAGGTAGCTAAAAAAAGGCATTGCATGCATGGAGTCGTACCTCACTAGACTAGGCTAGTAATAGGTCCCTTCTCTCAAATTTATGCATGTAATAATTTAGGTGCTTGTAATAATTATATATATATATAAAAAAAGAATGTAGTTGAAAAGAGAAGGGTTCAGACCTATCACCTATCAATTCATTTCCCATGGGAAAATAATAGATTTCTTTCCTCATGGGAAATTATTGCGCGGAACCAGTTCCTTGGAGTTACATGAATCCCACCCCAGTTCACTACCCAAGTTTATTTTATAATCAAATCAAAATTTCAAATATCATTGTATTTGAGTTCAAACTAAATGACTTCAAATTTATAATATGGAGTTTAGATTTCATATTTTGTTTCTTTTATTAAGTTTGAATTTTTTTGAATTTGAAACTATTCAACGTTAAACAAACTCATTATATCTAAATAAAGATAATAATAGTCTAAATTATTAAAATTGCGTTAAATGCATTTTTCCTTTGAGTTTAATAAATCCAATGACGGTGCATGTTTTACATAGTAAACTAGGTTTTTTCTCGGTGCACGACTATGTTAAAATACAGTATTAAACTGATACTATATGTAAAAAATTTAACTACTTTAAGTCTCACGTTTTATTATCTCTCTAAATTTTTTTTTGAATAAAATTAATATTAAAATCACAGAATTTGAATACGAGAAAAATATTTTATTTGAGATTGTTGATAATTTTACCCGTTGTATTTTCACTTTTTTTTCCAATATTAAGAAATGAGACAGCGGTCATTCTTTTGAGCAATAAAAAAGGTCACATGTGAACGCAAATAAATTATTTTATTAAAAGCTAATTTTTTTTAATAAAAAATTGATGTAGCATTGATTTGATATATTTTAGGCGTGAAAACTTTCAATGTAATGTAATATGTATCTTTTAATTTTTCTTCGATAGTTATTTTAATTATAAAATATAAATATATTTCTAAACAAAACAATGTGTAGTGAATTAGGGGTGGGATTCATGTGAAAGAAATAAATGACTCTCTCTCTCTCTCTAGACGATTTCAAGCGATAATGTGAAATAACCATGGAAAAGGGGAAGTAGAATGAGAAGAGAAAGGCCAAAACACCAGAAATTGAAGTAACACGTGCTAAAAATGTAGGGCCAAAGGAGAATAAACGCGAATCACCAAGAAACCTAGGGACTGTTGTTACTGCAGATCCGAGAAACTCCATGGCGAACCCTAGGGGATCAATTTCAAGGAATTTTGAATCAGGCAGAAATGGGGTGGAACTCAAAGATACAATAAATCTAAGTGAAATCCTGAGAATCCCAACTGCAAGAAGAATTGATTGGTCGGCGGAGCAAGTAGTAGAACAAGGGAAGATAGATCTGGATTGGGTACGATTCGACCCGAATAAATTGAAGAAGGCTAGAGCAAAACTTGAAAATTTTCAACCTCTTGAACACGAGGGCAAAAAGATTTGTCGGATTGGGTGTGGACAAATCCATCATTAGTTTCGTTCTAGGAGCACACCCTCCATTACCAGTGATGGACTGATACTATAAGAATCTATAGAAAGCTATTGTTGATAAGGTGTTGTTATTTCCTTCTGGGTATTAATATATCATATGGGTGGAAATCCGGTTATAGTGAAACCGTGGAGTATTGAAAAGAGTATTAACATCAGGGAAGTGACTCATTTACTAGTACATGTTCAATTCCCTGAATTAGAACTAAAATATTGGGATCTTGCTTCCTTAAGTAGATTGGCTAGTAACTTGGGCAAGCCAATAATGGCTGATTTAGAGACTACTGAAAAAACTAAAGTCCAATATGCAAGGGTTCTGATAGATGTGGAGATTCAAGACTTTCCACCACCTGAAACGTATTTTGAAGATGAGTATGGTGTAGTTCAAATCCAAGCGGTATATTATGAATGGAGGCCCACAAAATATTCACATTGCCAGAAACTGATAGCAATCTCGTAGACGAAGAAAATTTCGTTAATGCAACCGTCAACAAGAAAGTACGAAGATAATTTGTCTATCTCGTGAAACTCAAAAGAGTGCGGAAAATTCACAGTAAGATGATCGTTTATCTAAGTGATTCAATCCCTTAACTCAAACCAAGCAAAGAACAAATTATCCACGAAAGATTCGAATTAAACAACAACTCACGCTAAGAATAGCAAGGACATCATTCAATATACTCGATCAGTCATCATTCAAGACACTCAAGAAAGGTAGGAGAAAACAATGCTCAACTATGAAGGAATACTATTGATTAGTAATCTTCATAACCAACCAAAGATATGCAATACATACACTATCTCAAAATGCTTATGCCAAAGCACAACTCATCCAACAAAAGTAGGACAAACCCCACAATGGAACTCATGAACACACTCATCATGAAATTCGAATAGTAAGCCAAAAGAAAGGCTCATCAATCGAACTACTAGAAGTAGTATGAAAATAAGAAGTTTTGTTTTAAAACAATTCTATCAAGAAGCATACTTGAAAAAGAACGGTTTCTACAAGATCAAAAGATCCAAGACAAGATGAAAACCCTCTTGGTTAAATCATACTTGACACGAAAAATGGACACTCCATTTAACAAAAATTCATCACAGGAAAAACTCTCAAAAGAGACAACAAAAATGACCACTCAAGGGTGCTTTGAAATTTCGGCCAAGCCCCCTATTTATAGGCTTAGATTTTCGGCCAGCACCAAGAAAAGAAGATCAATTAGGACTTTCTAATCTTATCTCACAAGGAGTAGAAGTAGAAGAGTATTTGATCTCTTTGATTCTATCTAAAATCTAGGAAACCTTATCTAAATGACTTATCCTCCAGTAGGATAATATCTAGAAGGAATCTAAGACTCCTAATCAAAACACTCTAATTTTATTCAGCCCACATGGCTTATCTAACTAGATAAAACTCGAAAATTGACTCTTAGACTTAGACTAACTCTAATCTCGAAATTCAGCTTCCAAATTGTTGAAGTAAAATGTCTTGAACGCTCTTACAAAAGTGAAATATTGGTCTTGCGCCCCTTAAGTTGTAGAAAACTTTAATTTACTCCAAAACTTGTAGAATTCTCTTTATTGACTCCAAAAGATTGGAAAAACACTTGAAACATGTGATACATTCAACTTGAGAATTTGTTTGTATTGCTTAACATAAAAAATGAGAGTGAGAAAATAGCCTTAGCTGTAGGTTGTTTTCGTTCTAGCGCTTTGAATTGGTGGAAACTAGTATCAAATATCTATTCGCATCATTGGTATCGTAGTTGTGATGATTGGCATGAATTGAGAAATACTTTGCGAGAAAGATATGTTCCTTTTAACACCTTTGCAGAGGCGAAAGTGAAGTTGCTCGAGTGTAAGCAGAATGGTATATCCATTTAATCTTACTATGAGGAACTAGAAGGTGTGTTCTTGAGCTCCAATGTGGATGAAAACGATTACATGTTGACAGATTGTTTCTTCTTTTGGACAAGGAGTATAAACAGAATCCGAAGATAAGACGGCAATCAACGCTCCATGAGGCGTACTTTACTGCCTTGGAGGTGGAGAAAGAGCATGATGCTTCTTGTGGTTGGAATGGTTATGTTCGGGACCAAGGGTTGGTGTTTGGCGCTGATGGTGGGGATCAAAGGACATGTATCTTCCGTACCAAGTGTTCGGTTGGGTGGTCCGATGACGTTGATCTAGTAATCGATGGTGGATAGAGTACTAATTGTGTCAGTGAAGAGTATTGCATGGTGCATGAAATCAGAATGGATCCGCATACTAATCCATATATGCTACAATGGGTGAGCGAGGACATGGTGGTGGATGTCACTAAAAAGGCTGTTGTTACCTTTCAAATTGGTGAGTATAGGGACGAACTTTACCTTGATGTAGTTCCTATGACGTTGTGTGATATTTTGCTAGGTAGGCCTTGGCAGACGGATTTAGATGCTGTGCATTATGAATCAAAGAATGTCTTTGTCTTTACTAAGGATGACATTAGACACATTCTTAAGCATTTGGCTTATGAGGATGCTAAAAATGTGCGAGAGAAAACATGTAAGATATCCTATACACAAGGGAGAGAAAAAGTCGAGAGAGTGACGCAAGAAAGTAAAAAGGGTCACACTGAGACAAGACTTGAGGCGAGAGAAAACCATGAATATTACGTGGAAACAGAAAAAAATGCACGCAATGAGAGAAAATCAGAATGTGGTGAGGGTGAGGATTTTACTAACCCTTATATCTCGTTTGTTCTTTGTGCAGGTTTAGAGGTTAATGATTGGAGGACAAATCCTCTTAAAAAAGGAGGGGATGATGAGAATCATATAGCCTTCCATGGTGGTTCTCCTAGTGAGGGGAATGAGCTAGTCCTTCATTCTAGTTTTGGGTGCCAAGTTTACTTTGCAGGCCAATCGAAGAAGAAATGATGGATCTTGACTACCTATGTGATAGGGAGTTGGTTCAAGGGAGCTATGATCAAGATGATGAGAATGTCACTAACTTTAGGGTTTAAACCAAAGGAGATGATTCACTCGTGGAAATAAGTGCTCAAGAGTATCAAGGTAGTTTGACTCTAGGTGCTCCAAGAAGATCATTGATCAAGCTAGAGAGAAGAGTCATTTAGGTTCTTGAATGGACGGCCTATTTGATCAAAGTGTTTAAGATTGAGTTCATTGCTACACAATTGGATAGGGTGCAAACAATCTCAATTGTTTCAAGTGTTTTTCCATTCTTTTGGAGTCAATAAAGAGAATTCTACAAGTTTTGGAGTAAATTGGAGTTATCTACAACTTGAGGGGTGTAAGACCAATATTCCACCTTTTGGAAGGGCGTTCAAGACATTTTACTTCAACAATTGTTGCTGAATTTCGAGATTAGAGTTGTCTAAGTCTAGGAGCTTATTTTTTTGAGTTTATCTAGTTAAGATAAGCCATGTGGGCTGAATTAAGCTAGAGTGTTTTGTTTAGGAGTCTTAGATTCCTTCTAAGTATTATCATATTTGAGGATAAGTCATTTAGATAAGGTTTCCTAGATTTTAGATAGAGTCAAAGAGATCAAATACTCTTCTAAATCTACTCCTGCGAGAGATAAGATTAGAAAGTCCTAGTTGGTCTTTTTTGGTGCTT